TGCCGTGCCACCCGCCCACCCTCACGTCCCCACAGCCGCAGCGAGCGCAGGATCCTCCTGTACCGGGCACAGGCCCTGCCCGATGGGCCCCTCTCCGTCCTCGGCCTCGACGTGGCCCCATCCACCCTGCTGCCCTTCTACGACGAGGACACCGGCGTCGTCTTCCTCACCGGCAAGGTGGGAGCACCTGCGCCCAGGAGGGCTGCCGGCACAGGGCCCCGCGGCGTGGGACCCGCCGTGCCCTCACACCAGCCCCCGTCCCGCTCTGTCCCAGGGTGACACCAGGGTGTTCCTCTACGAGGTGACCCCCGAGCCACCCTATTTCCTCGAGTGCAACAGCTTCACCTCCAGCGACCCCCACAAGGTGAGGGGGGGAGCCCGTTGGGGCCGTGCCGCCGTCCCTGCTCCCAGCCCCGCTCACCTGCCCTGCTCCCCCCAGGGCTTCGTCTTCCTGCGCAAGACGGCGTGCGACGTGCGCGAGGTGGAGTTCGCCCGAGCGCTGCGGCTGGGCCAGGGCGCCCTCGAGCCGGTGGCTTTCCGCGTGCCTCGTGTCAAGGTAGCCATGGGGGCTGGCGGCATGGGGGGGCCGGGTGGAGGCTCCCCTGTCCCTCACCACCCCGCGTCCTGCAGAAGGAGTATTTCCAGGACGACATCTTCCCTCCCACCCGCGTATGGTGGGAGCCGGCCCTCGGTGCCAGCGCCTGGCTGGAGGGGGCGGACGGGCAGCAGCGCCGTGCCGACCTCCGTCCCCCCGACATGACGCCAGGTGGGTGCAGGAGGGGCGAGGTGGGCACGGCGTGTGGGGCTGCCCCCCTGGAGCTGCCCCCCCTGGAGCTGCCCCATATCGCGTTGCCCTCACAGTGAGCCAGGCCCCCAAAGAGCAGCCGGCGCGCAAGTTTGTCCCCGCGGCCGTGTACCTGGGGGAGAAGACGGACGAGCAGAAGAAGGAGGAGGTGAGTAAGGGATGGGGGTGGTTGTGGGGGGATCCCGAACCCCCCCACGAAGCCCTGTCCCCACCCCGTGGCTTGCCCCGTAGCTCCTCAGCGCCATGGTGGCCCGGCTGGGCAACCGCGACGACCCGCTGCCACAGGACTCCTTCGAGGGCGTGGATGAGGCTGAGTGGGTAGGTATGGTGGGGACACTGGGACATGGGGACAAGGGGACACCGCGACATGGGGACACCAGGACACTGCGACATGGGGACACTGGGATGCTGCAACATGGGGACAAGGGGACACCACGACGTGGGGACACCAGGACACTGCGACATGAGGACACCACAACATCGGGACACCGGGTCACCATGACTTGGGGACACTGGGACACTAAGACATGGGGACACCGGGATGCTGTGATATGGGGACAAGGGAACATCATGACCTGGGGACACTGGGATGCTGCAATATGGGGACACCGTGACATGGGGACACCGGGATGCTGTGATCTGGGGACACCATGACATAGGGACACTGGGACACTGCGACACGAGGGCACCATGACATGGGGACACTGGGACACCGTGACATGGGGACACTGGGACACTGGGACATGAGGACACCACGACGTGGGGACACTGGATCACCATGACATGGGGACACCAGGACACTGTCACATGGGGACACCTGGATGCCTTGACATGGGGACACTGGGACACCATGACATGGGGACGCCATGACATGGGGACACGGGGATGCTGTGATATGGGGACAAGGGGACACCATGGCATAGGGACACTGGGACATGGGGACAAGGAGACACCACAACATGGGGACACCAGGACACCTTGACATGGGGACACTGGGACACTGGGACATGGGGACACCAGGACACTGCGACATGGGGACACTGGGGTGCTGCGATATGGGGACACTGTGACATGGGGACACCGGGTTGCTGTGATATGGGGACAAGGGGACACCACAACATGGGGACACCGGGATGCTGTGACATCGGGACATCGTGATATGGGGACACCGGGACACCTCGACATGGGGACACTGTGACACCACAACATGGGGACACCGTGACGGGGGGTGCAGGGAGCGAGCCCTGCCGCTCTCACCGCCCCCTATCCCCACAGGACTGATCCTCGCCGGAGCCCACGGACTCCTCAGAGCCCCCGGGCTCCCCATGGCCCCCGGGCTGCCCGGAGCCGCCCCGTGGGGACGCGGTGTCGCTGTGGGGCCGGCCCCGCCATTAAAGCCGTGCAGCCTCGCCCCGCTCCGCCTGCTGCTTGTGTGGGGCTGAGGGGCGGGGAGGGCAAAATGGCGCCCGGCAGCTCCCGGCAGCCGCCAGCAGGGGGCGATGTGGGGAGGGGGGAGGCGGCTCCGCCCCGCGCCCTCCGCTCCCTGACCCGGCCCCGTCAGGAGCGGAAGGGGCGGCGGGGACATGGTGAGGGGCTGAGGGGGGGGACAGGGGACATGGAGGGGGATAGGGGACACGAGGGGGGTGGTAGGGGACACGGGGGGGGACAAGGGACGGGTAGCGGGGCGGGGAGGTAGGGGACAGGGCGCTGGGTGTGGGGCGGGGGACAGGGGGCGGGGTGGGGGGACAGGAGCCGGGGAGGGGGACAGGGGACAAGGGACAGGGACAGGGAGGGGGTGGAGGGGCTGTTGAGGGTCTGAGTGAGGGAGGAGAGAGCCGAGGGGGCAGGGGACACAGGGGACACAGGGGACATAGGGGAGGGGGAGGCCGGATCCCGGGTGGGGTGGTGGGGAGAGGGGTGCAGGGACACGTCGGGGCCGGCGGTGACAGGGTGACAGCCCCCCCGCTGTCCCCACAGGCCAAGTACCTGGCGCAGATCATCCTGGTGGGGGCCCAGGTGGTCGGACGGGCCTTCATGCGGGCGCTGCGCCAGGAGTTCGCAGGTAGGAGCCCAGCTCCCCCCCACCACCCCCCCAGGGCTCCCCCAAATCCGGGCTGAGGGGACACCCCCGGGTTCCTTTGTGCGGGCAGGGGACACCCCCGGGTCCCTTCATGTACTGAGGGGACATCCCCACGTCCTTTTGTGCAGGCTGGGGACACCCCCAGGTCCCTTTATATACAGAGGGGACACCCCCAGGTCCCTTCACGTGGCCCCCAGGCCCCTGCCCCCTCCCCAGCGCTGGGTGCCGGGAGGGGACCTCACCCGGGTGGCCCCATGAGGGACACGGGTGACTAAGATGGGGCTTCATGGCCCTGACCCGCCTGGAAGCCCCCGGGGTTTTGGGGTGCGGGGACATGCCCTGAGGCACTTTCGGAGGGCTGACGGTGTCCCCGGCAGCGAGCCGAGCTGCGGCAGACGCGCGAGGGCGCTCGGAGAGGCCCCAGTCCGCCGCCGCCTCCAGGATCATCGGCATCAGCCTGCAGGAAGCTCAGCAGATCCTCAACGTCTCCAACCTCAACCAGGAGGAGATCCAGAAGGTAGGGGGGGCTCCCTCGGGGTGCCTGTGGCTGGGGAGGGATTTTGGGGTTGGTGGGGGGTGATGTCTGGTCCCTGGATGGTTTGTGGGTGCTGTCCTGGGCATGGCTCAGTCCCAGGAGATTTTTGCTGCCCCAGCTTGATCTGGAGCACAGGAGGAATTTGCTTGGCAGAGCTGCCCGGGGATGGGGACTGCTGCTCCCCAGAGGTACTGGGGGTGAAGCAGCCTCCACCCCCAGGTGCCAGGGGACACCAGGAGTTGGGGAGCAGAGGGTGCAGGAGGCAGCGACTGACGGGGAGCTTTGTTTTGGCAGAACTATGACCACTTATTCAAGGTGAACGACAAGTCTGTGGGAGGCTCCTTCTACCTGCAGTCCAAGGTGAGCGAAGGGAGAGGTGCTGGGGTCCCTCCAGCTCTGCCCCCAGCCTGTCTGGCTTTGAGAGGAACCTTCCAGAAACGGATGTTTTTGGGCAACAGCGTCTCCTGCGCAGGCTGAACCCACCCGAAGGCCATGCAGGGAGGGTTTTGCTGCCTCTGCCTGGCTGCTTTGGGAGGGGATGGGGGCTGTTGGTGCCAGCGGAGCAGGGCTGTGCTGACAAGGGGTCGGGAATAGGATCTGTCCCCCTCCTTTGTCGTGCTGGAGGCCATCTGGGGGGTGCCTTAGGGGGGGTGAGGGACCCGCAGCACCGACAGTCACTGCCAACGAGCCCCTTTCAGAGCCCTGGTGAGGCAGGAAGGACTCGGAGCCTGGTGCCAGCGGGCAGGGTGTGGGTGCTCCGTCCCTCTGTGTCACCCTGTCCCCTTGTCCCAGCAGGTGGTGAGAGCCAAGGAGCGGCTGGACGAGGAGCTCCGCATCCGGGCCAAGGACGAGAAGGAGAAGGGCTGGAAAGCCGAGACGTGACTCCTGCCACCCTCGCCCCTGCTTCCCTCTCCCTTAAGTTAAAGGTAGCCAATAAACGCCGTGTCCTCCACCGCCTGGCCTGGCTGCTCTGCGCCCCGGGGAGGGAGAAGGGGCGGCCCTGGCGCTGCCCCTGCCCTGCTGCTGTGCCCTGGCCCTCGGCTCAGAGCGCAAAAACACGACCCAGACGCAAGGGACTGGCACGGGCTGCGTCCTGTCCTGCGGATGACGGAAGGTGGAGGAGGAAGGAGGGGTGTCCCCCGCTGGGCCTCAGGGCAGCGAGGGCTGCCAGCGCACAAATCACGCCCGGGAAGGCCGCAGGAGCTATTTTAGTGGGGGGTTGGATGCTCTTGGCCCGGCTGCACACATGCCTCTGGCTCTGCACCACGTGAGAGCCGGGAGCTGCGTGCAGACAGGCAGCAAGGACAGGAGCTGCGTCGGGGCACAGCAGCGAGGAGCCGTGCGGGGACACTCGGGGGCTGTCCCTGTCACAGCCCCTGGAGGGGGCTCAGCCCCCCAGGGAGGCCAGGCAGAGCCAGCCGTGCCCCGGGACCCCAGTCCCAAGGAGATGGCGCTGGTGTCGCCCCTCTGTCCCCTGGCACAAGCTCAGCACTTTGTCCCCATCTCGGGCTCCTCGCTGCCCTCGAGCCCCGGGCACAGACTGAAACAGGAACTTACTTCAACTTTGCTTTATTGTTTTCTTAATAAACTTCCTCTCCCATGGAGGAATATAGTGTTATAGTCGTTAGCTTATCTCTTACTTCTGTAGTCCTTAAACTCTATGCTAACAGCGATGGAGCCCAACAGGAGGAAAATAAAAACAACCCAGAAACTACAATAGAAAGGCACTTAGAGACCGTTAAAATACTGATGTCCTGGAATGTGCAACAACAAACCAACAAACGAGCAAGAAAAACGTACACCGGCCGGGGAGGCCTGGTCGATGGCCGAATGCCATGCTGTGGCAGTGCCGGGTGGCCGCCGCGCCCCGGCCCGAGGACGGTGAGCACGGGGAGACCGGCTCCCCGTGGGCGTGCGGCCGGGGGACCCGACCCTCCCCGAGCCTGGGCCTTTGGGGGGGCTCCTTGCAGCTGGGTCAGGGTCAGGGAGACCCCCGGTTCGGAGAAAGCCGTGGGCAGGGGTCCTGCCCGGGGCGGGGCGAGGTACGCAGGACCCCCCTGTGCGCACCGGGGCGAGAGAGGCACCAGTGCCATGGGAGCGGTCAGGGAGAGCTGGCCCCCGTGCTGGGGGGGGTCGTGGCCCCGGGTGAGTGCGAGCGGTCCCTCAGAGAGGGAGGGTCGGGGCTGGGGGAGCAGGGATGGAGCTCAAGGGGCCTCAGGGCACCTCCGTGGGGTCCCCATCCCCGAGGCTCCTGCCTCGTGGTGCTGCTGGCAGAGCTGAGCGGGTGCCCTGTCTGCCCAGCCATGCCGGGGCTGCCCAAAATCTCTATTTTAGCCACGACGCCTGGTGCACCGGCGCTGCCCCACGGCATGGGGCTGGCATACCCCATGGCAGGACACCCTGTGGGTCTCCTGCCAGGCAGGGTGCCCCGGCTGTGCCAGGAGAAAACACCGCCCCGTTGGGGCCCCAGGGAGCCGGCACGGCACCGAGCCACGCAGCACCGAGCCGCACGGTGCCAAGGTGCCGCTGGCAGCTGCCCGCAGCCCTGCCCGCGCTGCCTGCATGCGCTTCGTTACACGGTTAGGTATGAACATAGCTAAACGCAGGTGGCTCTGCCCCGGTGCGGAGCCGGCGCGGCGAGCGGCACACGCGGCCGTGTGCCTTGTCACGGGGAGGGCCGGGGAGGCGGCGCGGGGTGGCCCAGCCGAGGAGCGGGCGTTTTGGGGACGGGCACCCAGGAGCAGCCCCCCGAGCTGCCACCCTGCTGTCCACACAGCAGCCCCGGGCAGGGAGACGCCAAGTCAGCGACAGCAGAAGAGCCCAAGAGGGGCCCCGTCGGAGCAGGGGTCTGGTCGATAAATAAATAGCGGCGTCTCCAGCTGCCGAGGCCGGGGCTGGGCACGGAGCAGGGCCCCCCCCCAGGCCCACCCCGTGGGGCCGTGGGGCTCAGGCCGGGCAGCAGCAGGGGGTCGCGGCCGGCTGCGTGCGCCGAGGGATTATTGCTATTCTCAGAAGAGTCCCATCTTCTTTCGTGAAGGTTAAAATCGTGCGCAGGCCCGCTGCCGGCGGAGGCAGCGCCGGGGGTCTCGGCGCGTGTCCCCCCCGCCCCGATTCCGGGAGCGGGGCCGAGCCCCTCAATTCACCACGGCCGGCTTGAGCAGCAAGGAGCCGGGGGGGATGACGACCCAGCCGGGGGGCAGCGCCTCGGGGGGGCTGCCCGCTGCCCCGATACCAGCCGAGAGGTCGAGCACGGCCCCCGGCAGCAGCGCCAGGCTCTCGGGGGGGGCCCGCAGGCGCCCCAGCTCCGTCCTTTCGCCGCCCGGCTTGCGGCTCTCCGGCCCCTTGCTCCCCCTTGCCCCCCGCCGCCTTCTCAGCCTCCACCTTGGCCCCGCCGGCCAGCAGCGACATGACGGGCAGCCCCAGGCCCCCGGCCGCGAAGGGCGAGGACAGCAGCGGGCTCTTGGCCAAGTTCAAGGGGCCGCCGTTGAGGGGCAGAGCGGGGCCGGGCAGGGCAGGGCAGCCCCCCAGAGCCCCCCGCCCCGCAGCCCAGAGCGCTCAGGTCGAGGGGGGCCGGTGCCAGCGGGATGGGCAGCCCCGGCAACCCGTGGGGGGCGAAAGAGGGCGGCGGGGTTGGGGATGACGAGCTGCGCCCCGTTGACGTAGGGCACGTCCGCCGAGCCCAGGGGGGTCTTGGGGGGCGGATGGCCCTTGAGCATCTCCTGGTGCTCGTGGGACACGAAGTGGCCGTGGGCTTTGATGTGCTTGCGGAGCGAGCTGGGGTCCGTGTAGCGCTTGTGGCAGCCCGGCATCTTGCAGTAGTAGGGCTTCTCCACGTAGTGGGTGCGGGTGTGCTTGAAGCGGTCGCTGGAGTTGGAGTAGCGCTTGTTGCAGCCTTCGTAGGGGCAGATGTAGGGCTTCTCGCCTGCGGGACGGGACGGCACAGCGCCGGGTCTGGTGGGGCCGGACACCTCCACCACCCCCCAACCCCAAAAAGGGTCACCCCCCCACACCCCGTCCAGGCCCGCACCCTGACCTGTGTGCGAGCGGTTGTGGATCTTCAGGTTCTCCAGGCGGGAGAAGCTCTTGTTGCAGGTGGGGCAGCGATGCGGCTTCTCGTTGGTGTGCGTCCGGATGTGGATCAGCATCTTGTACCTGCACCCGCAGCCGTCAGCTGGGGGGGGGGGGCAGGCCCGACCCCAAACCCACACACCCCCCCCATCCACCCACCACCACAGCTCGCGGGGACACCCGGTGCCTGTCACCGTGCATCACCCGGTGCCATCCACCCTCGCAGCCCAGCCCTGTCCGGGGGTGCAGCGCTGCCCCCCCCCCCAGCCCCAACGCCCCCCAAGGAGCCCCCCCAACCCGCACCCACCTGGCGTTGAAGCCCCGGCCGTGGCGGGCGCAGCCCTCCCAGTGGCAGCAGTACCCCGCGTCCTTCTCGGGCTTGACGTGGAAGTCGTTGACGTGGTCCACGAGGTCTTGCAGGAGGTCAAAGAACTGGTTGCACTGCGGGCACGAGGCTGGGGTGAGGTGGGGGGGCTGCGGACCCTCCATCCTCCCCCAGATCCCCATCCCCGAGGACCCCCCCCGAATCCCTGATGGGCTGGGGAGGTGCAAACGACCCCTTGCATCAGCCCCGTATGCTTCTGCCTCCCAGCCCCACGTCCGTGCCCCCCCGGCTGACCTTGGACCAGCGGCAGACGAGCTGTTTGGGCAGGGGCAGCTCCGGGGAGAGGCGCTTGTCCTTGGGGGGGGGCAGGAAGGCGGAGGAGGGCAGGTGCAGGGCCCCCCCGGCGCCGAGCGGCAGGAAGAACTGGAAGGAGCTGGGGATGCCATCGATGTAGCGCAGGGACTGGAAATCCTACAGCAGAACCCAATGGGGACGGCGGTCAGGGAGGGGGCCGGGGTGCAGGGCCCCCCCTCTGACCCCCAAAAAAAGAAATGGGGCGGATTGGGGATGCCATGGGGGGGTCGTACAGGTGGGGAGGGGGGTCCTGAGTGTACTCACGTGGGGGGCGGTGGGCAGGGGCAGGTCGCTCGCCCCCGGCCGCTCGGGGGACAGCGGGGCGCTGCCCCCCGGGGACTCCCCGCCGGGGGGGGGCGAGAGGCTCAGGTCCATGACGGGCAGGGGGGGGAAGCGCCCGTCCCTTTTCTCCAGCAGCTTGGAGTGTGCCAGGAGGCTGGGGTCGGTCCTGCCCGGCGCCCCCCCCGTGCCGAACCCCGGCTCTCCCCGGCCGGCGGGGCGTCCTGGCGCGGAGGCGGGGGGGGGGGACACGACGGGGCCGCGGGGTCGGGGGCCGGGGGGGGCCCCCCCGTTCCCGTTTGTCCCGGGCAGCCCGCAGCTTGGAGATGCTCAGCTTCAGGTCCAGCGGCTCGTCCAGCGAATGCATGGCGGCGGCGGGCAGGGGGCTGCGGAGATTTGGGGAGGGGGGGGGGAGGTCAGCACCGCATCACCCGGCTCCCCCCCCCCCCCAGCTGCGGAACCGGGGGGGTCTGGCACAGGCTCAAGGCCGCGGGGCGCTGGCACGGAGCCGGGGCCGTGCCGGTGTCCCCGTGTCCCGGTGTCCCCTCCCGCGGCGGGCAAAGGGCAGGGCGCAGCGCGGGGGCGACGTGGGGGGGGGGGGGCACCGAGGTGGTGGTGGGGGGGGGGCACCCGACCCCATCCCCATCCCCTGCATGGCGCACGGCCCTGCTCCCCGCCCCACTCCCCCCCCAGGGGATTCCCCCGCGCCCCCCGCCTGCATCCACGGGGGTGGCCGCCGGGACCCCCCCTCTCCTCCCTCGGTGCCCCCCCCCCGGCCCCCCCCGCCCTTTCCCAGGGGCGGCGGCGGCTCCAGCCCCGCCGTGACCCGAGCGCGTTGGCCCCAGCCCCGGCTTCCTCCCCCGCCGGGGCCCCTCCGCCGCTGGGGCCGGGCAGGGGCTGCCCGCGGCTCGGCTCAGCTCGGGGCCCCCCCCGGCTCCTCCTCGGCCCCCCCCCTTCCACCCCGGTGCCCCCCCCCTTCCCCTTTCCCCATCCCTTTTTTTTTTTTTTTTTTTTTTTTAATTTTTCCCCCATCCCGGTGCGTGCGCGCACAGAGCGCGCGGGGGGAGAGACCGTGGGGCCGGGCAGGGGGGGGGGGGGGCGCAGCGCACCCAGCACACGTGGCACCCCCCCCCCGCGTGTGTCCCCCCCCCCCCCATACACACACACACCCAGGGCCCCCCCCTCGCTACCGCTGCCGTTGCCACCGCCCCGGGGGGCCCGGCCCCCGCCCTGCCCCGCCGCCGGGGCCCCCCGCTCTGGCCGGGCTCCAGCGCGGCGCAGACGCTGAGGAATGCGGAGGAGCCGCGGGGGGGGGGGTACGGGGGGGGGGGACACACGCAGGGGGGCCCGGCCGCGGGGGTGGGGAGACCCCCCCCCACCGCACACACACATATAGATCCCCCCCGCCCCATCCTCCAGCCGGCGGTGGGGCTGGCCCCATAGGGGGGAGCCCCCCCCCGCCCCATAGCAGCTGGAGAGGGGGGGCTGCTATAAAGGTGATGCCCCCCCCCCCAAAATAGAGCCCCCCCATGTCCAAAAGTGGGGGCGCTGCCCTGAGCCCCCCCCACCCCCAGCCTGTCGCTGCACCCCCCAGGACGGACAGGAGGCACCCACGGGTGCGCGGCCCCACGGCACGCATTGGGGGGGGGGGGGGGCTGACCCCACTTGGGGGGGGGTCGGGACATGGGAGGGGGGGGGCCCAGGGGAGGGGCGCAGCCCCAGGCCCTTTAAAAATCCCAAACCCACGGCTGGGGCCGCTTCCTCTTCCTGCCACCCGCGGCCCCCGCCCCACGCAGGGATGCGGCGATGGAGCCTCGCGGGGGGGGGACGGGACACGGGTGGGTTATTTTTTTTTGGGGGGGGGGGGGGCGATGAACCCAAAGCTGCCGGGACGCGGCCCTGTGCCAGGTGCCCCAAAAGCGGGGTGGCCCCGGCGCTGTCCCCGGCTGTGCCCCCACCCCACTCGGGACGGGGGTCGTGGGGTGCCGTGGGGAGGGGGGGGCACGGGGGGGGGACACACGGAGGGAAGCGGCTCCTGTCGGGCAGCGGAGATGGCTCCGGGGGGGGGGGGGGGGGGGCAGCCAAAACGTCCCGCGGCCTCGCTGCGGGGACAGCCGGGGGGGTCCCCACGGGCATAGTGGGGTGGGGGGTGGGGGGGAGACCCAGCGGCGGGGTGACATCACCGCCCCCCCCCCAAAAAAAAAAATAAATAAATAGATAGATAAATAAATATAAATAAAGGATCAATAAAGCCCCGAGCATCCCCCCCCCCAAAAAATAAAACAAGGACGGAGCCGGAGGGAGGACGCGGTCACGGGTGGGTGACACAAAAGGCGAGCGCTGGGGGGGGGGGGCACGCCGGGAGCCTTCTGGGGGGGCTGTCACGCGTCCGGGGGGGCTCCCACCACCAGTACCACCACCACCAGTACCACCAGTAGCACCAGTAGCACCAGTACCATCCCCACTGCCCCCCCCCCAGCCCGCTGCCTACCTGCGGGCGGCTCAGCGCGGGGCTCGGCGCAGGGCCCCCCCCCGCCGTGGGGCCAGCGGGCGGCTCCGCCACATCTGCGAGGCGCCGGGGCCGGGGGCGGTGGGAACGGCGGGGGCTCTGCCTGGCCCCCCCCCCCTCCCCACCACCCCACCCCACAACCACCGCCCCCCCCGGCCGGCCGGCAGGCAGCCCCGGGGCGGGGCGGGGGCTCTGCCCGCCGTGATTTATGGCCGCCCCCCCCCCCCCTCCCTCCCTTGTCCCCCCCCCCCCCCGGAGAGCCCCGCTAGGACCGGCCCCGCCGCGCCGCCGCCCCGGCAGCCATTCGCGGGTGGGAGCTGAGCGCATGCTTGGGACCGCCCCGGGGGGGGGGCGTGGGGGGGTTTGGGGGGGGTTTTGGGGGGGCTGCAGGGGTTGGGGAGAAGCGGGGGGGGCGCACGGATGGGGAGATGGAGACGCACGGGGAGCCCCGCGGAGGGGACGCGGACACGCGTGGGGGGGGGTCACGCGTGGGGGGGTCACGCATGGGGGGATAAAATAAAATAAAATAAAATAAAAAGGGGAGGGGGGGGGACGTGGCGTGGCGTGGGGACCCCCCCCCAACCCCAGCCGGGCCGGATGCAGGAAGCGAATCCCCCCCCCCCCCCCATAGGGATTTAGGGGGAGCTCGGGTGTATGGGGGGGGGTTGGGGGGGATTCGTGTTTTAGTGCCGCGGGGGGGGGGGCGAATTTCCCGCGTGACGCCAGCACCGCTCCGTGACGTCACGGCCTGGCAGGGCCTCCCTATGACGTCACCACCACCCCCCCCCCCCCGGAGGAGGGAGGGGAGGGAGGGAAGGGGGCGGGATGGGGCGGGGGGGGGCGCACCGGGGGGGGGGGGGTTGTCCCCGGGGCTCCTTCCGCAGGCAGGATGTGGCGGCTGGGCCCGGCGGGGGGGTGTCCCCGCTGTCACGCCCCACGCGTGGTATTTTTGTTTTTTTTCTTTTTTTTTTCTTTTTTTTTTTTTTTTTTTTGGGGGGGGGGCAAAATCCACGCGGGGAGGGGCAGGGCAAAAAGCAGGGCACAGCCCCGTGGCGGGGGGGGGGGGACATCCGCCACCAGGTTGTGCCCCCCCCCCAGGGGAGTTGTCACCCGTGTGGCACCCCCCCAGTACAAAATCACCCCCCCCCCCAAAAAAAATCCCATTGTGCCGTGGTCCCAAAATACCTCTGAGCCCCACACGTGGTCTGAGCCCACCCCCCCCCCAAGGCCACCAGGAGCCCCCCCAAGCCCCCCATCGGTTCCCCCCCAGCTGCCCCATTTGGCAGCCCCACGGGGACGGAATGGGGTGGGGTGGGGTGGGGTGGGGTCAGATGGGGTGGCACAGGGTGGGATAGGGATGGGGTAATGGGATGGGGTAGGATAGGATGGGATAGGGAAGGATGGGATGGGATGGGGTGGGATAATGGGATAGGGAAGGATGGGATAGGATAGGAGGGGATGGGATAGGGTTGGATGGGATAGGGTCAGATGGGATGGGAACAGGACAGAGCAGGATAGGATCAGGTGGGGGTGGCACAGGATAGGATAGGGATGGGATAGGGTGGGATAGGGTCAGATGGGATATGGTGGGTTGGGATGGGGACAGATGGGATGGGATGGGGTCAGGAGGGGATGGAACAGGATGGGACGGGGATGGAATGGGGATAGGAAAGGATGGGATGGGATGCGGTAGGATAGGATGGGACAGGAGTATGAAAGGATGGGATATGGTCAAATGGGATACAATGGGATGGGATAGGGTCAGATGGGATACAATGGGATGGGGACAGGACAGAGAAGGATAGGGTCAGGTGGGGATGGCACAGATGGGATAGGGATAGGGATAGGAAAGGATGGGGTAGGATGGGGTAGGGTCAGCTGGGACGGCAAAAAGGGGATGGGGACAGGATGGGACAGCTGATAGGATCAGATGGGGTGGCATAGGATAGGATAGGGATGGGCCGGGGATAGGAAAGGATGGGATAGGGTCAGATGGGATAGGGTTGGATGGGATGGGATGAGGACAGGATAGCAGGATAGGGGCAGGTGGGGGTGGCACAGGATGGAATAGGGATGGGATGGGGTAGGACAGGATGGGATAGGAAAGGATGGGATGGGGACAGGGCAGGATGGGGGAGAGTTGGATGGGAGATGTTCAGATGGGATAGGGTCGGATGGGATGGGATGGGGACAGGATAGAGCAGATAGAGTCAAATGGGATAGGAAGGATGGGCCGGGCTGGGATGGGACAGAGATAGGAAAGGATGGGATAGGGTCAGATGGGGCAGAGTGGGATGGGGATAGGACAGAGCAGGATAGGGTTGGGAGGGGTGGCACAGAATGGGATAGGGATGGGATGGGGATAGGAAAGGATGGGATGGGGTAGGACAGGGTGGAACGGGGACGGGAAAGGATGGGATAGGGTTGGATGGGGTATGTTTGGGGTATGTTCAGATGGGATAGGGTTGGATAGGATGGGATGGGGATAGGACAGCAGGATAGGGTCAGGAGGGGGTGGTGCTGGATGGGATAGGGATGGGATAGGGATAGGGATAGGGATAGGGCCAGATGGGATGGGATGGGACAGAGCAGGATAGGGTCAGCTGGGGGTGGCACAGGACGGGACAGGGCTAGGACAGGGCCAAGAAAGAGCAGGACAGAGCGGGACAGGGCAGCACAGGGTCCCCCAGGACTCTCCCAGAACCCAGCAGACCCCAACCCCGAGCTCACCCCCACCCCCACCGCACCCCTGGCTCAGTCCAGCACCCGTTGGGGGCACCACCAGCGGGGGGGGGGTGACACCAGCCCATCTCCCCCCACCCCCCCACCCCCATTCCGCCGCCCCCCCCCCCACCCCAGCCACCCCTCTGCGCACCCCAGGACCCCCCCCGAGCCCCCCTAAACCCCCCCTAAACCCCCCTCAACCCCCCCCAAACCCCTCTAACCCCCCTTAAACCCCTTCCAGCCCCCCTGGGGACCCCCCCCGCAGCCCCTCTCCCCCCTCTCCCCGGCGGAGCCCGCGCCGTCCTTTGTTTACATGGGCCGGTGGCTGGCGGAGGCGGCGCCGCCGGGGGAGGGAGCGCTGCTGTGTGCTCGGCTTCTCCTCTCCCCCAGCTGTTTCCCGCCTTGTGAGACACACGCACCCGCACCACCCGCACCCGCCCGGCCCCGCACCGCACCCTCCCGGCCCCGCAAAGCCCCCCGCCAAGCCCCCGGCCGGCCATGGAGTACTTCATGGTGCCCGCCCCGAAGATGCCCTCCCTGCAGCACTTCAGGAAATCCGAGAAGGAGGTCATCGGCGGGCTCTGCAGGTGGGGCACGGCTCTCCCCGCGCTTCTGCCCCTTTCCACCATTTTCTGCCTTTTTTGTTATTATTCTTTCACGCTCCGTTTTTCATTCTTTTTTCTCTATTTTTATTTCTTTTTCCCACCCCCGCTCCTTCCCCAGCACGTGGGTGCGCGCCCGGGGGCGCCGCGCACATGGGGCCGGGCCCCGCCAGCGGCCATGCGGCCTCCAAAAAAGGGGGGGGGGGGGGGGGGGGACAGGGGACAGCGCTGCTGCTACCGCTGGGGGTGGACGTGGGGGGGGGGAGGCACCGGGTAGCCCCGTGTGTGTGCCCCCCCCCACGGGCACCGGCACCGGGACACGAGGGGGGAGCGGAGCCCGGAGGAGGGGACCCCGGGGGCGCCCCAACGGTGGCGGGCGGTGGGGCCCCGAAATTGGGGGGTGGGGGTGGGTGAGGGGGGGGGGTGGGGGGGGGTGGAGGTGGAGGGGGGCGTGCGGTGGGGCCCGGGGGGGGGGCGTGTGTTTACTGCGGGCCCGGCCGTGACTCTGCAGCCCTCCCGGAGGAGGCGGGCCGGGAACGGGGCCGGGGCTGCCGGGATTTGTAGTGCGGAGCCCCCCCGGGCGCCAGCCTCGGGGCTCCGGAGCACAAAGCCGGGAGGGAGCTGCTGGGGGCCGAGGAGGAGGAGGAGGAGGAAGGAGGAGGAGGAGGAGGATGGGGATGGCGGCCTCGATCCCAGCCCCGGTCCCGGCCCCGGCCCCTCCGCCCCGCCCTCGGCCCGGGTGCGGCCCCGGCGGGTCCCCACGCGGCTCCATGGCGGCGGGGCCTGCTCGGGCCTCTGCCGGGCCCCCGCGCTCACACCCGGCTTCACACACTCACACGGACCTTTACACACTCACACGCACCTTTACACACCCCTTTACACGCGCACACCGACACCCACGCGGCCCCCGGTCTGGCTGCGGCGTGGCTGTGGCCCCCCGTGGGGCACTCGGGGGCGCACGGGTTGGGGAGGGGGTGCTGCTCTCAGGGGGCCCCTGGGGGCTTGGGGACACCCTGCCCAGGAGGTTCCACTTGGGGTGCACCCTGCCCAGGAGGTTGGGGAGGTCGGGGACACCCTGCCCGTGAGCTCGGGGAGCTGGGGTGCGCCCTGGTTGGGAGCTTGGAGAGCTTGGGGGCACCCTGTCCCCATGAGCTCAGGGACACCGTGCCCATGAACACCTTGCCCATGGGTTCAGGGAGCTGGGGTGCGCCCTTCTCATGAGCTTGGGGAGCTGGGGGCACCCTGCCCATGAGCTCGGGGAGCTGGGGTGCACCCCTCTTGCAAACTCGGGGAGCTCGGGGGCATCCTGCATGTGGGCTCGGGGAGCTCAGGGATGCCCTGCCCATGTGCCTGGAGACACCCTGCCTTTTCCTGCAGGCTTGGGGGACCCAAATGCACGCTGCCTGGGAGCTCGGGGACACTGTCCCCTTCCTGCAGGCTTGGGGAACGTGTGTACGCCCTGCCTGGGAGCTTGGGGAACCTGGGTGCGTCCTGCCTGCAAGCTTGGGGAGCTCAGGGGCACCCTGCCTTCGAGCCTGGGGATGCCCTGCCCTGCCTGCATGCATGGGTAGCCTCAGGGATGCCATACCTGAGAGCTCAGGAAGCTTGGGGACACCCAGCTGGCGAGCTCAGGGAGCTCGGGTACACCCTGAGCTCGGGGACACCCTGCCCAAGAGCTTGAAGCGTTCAGCAACACCCTGCCTGGGAGCGCGGGGACACCCGGAGCCTGGGGACGCCCTGAGCTCAGGGACATCCAGCCCACCGGTGCAGCCCAGGCCGTGAGCTGCGGGCACCGACAAACACGGGCTGGCACAGCGAGGTGTCCTCGTGAGTTGTGTGGTGGCTGCCAGCTTTCATCCCCCGTGGTTTTGTTTTCCTCGAGGTCCAGGCGAGCGTTGGTGTCCCCGCCGGGTCCCACGTGGGTGCCGCCATGCAGCTGGGGAGGGAAGGATCAAATTCTACCTGCCCAGCCCACGCCTCGCGTCCGGGTGCGCCCGCGGCACGGAGTGGGGGCTGTGGGCACCCCGGGGCTTCTCCCCGACGTGGCTTTTATGGCACGAGAGCTTCTGTGCACAGGAGTGTCCGGGGCAGGAAGGGACAGCCCGGGTGTGCTGCTGGCGCGTCCCAGCACGGTGGGGCTGGGGCTGGGGTTGGGGCTGGATCTGCCCCGCTCAGGCACAGCCGCCGTGGGCAGGCGCAGGCAGGCAGCAGCCGGGCACCGTGTGGAGATCCCGGTGTGGAGCCCGCTCCCGGGGTGGCACTGGGCGCCAGGACAGCTTCTGAATGGAGGCCTTTCTTTTTCCCCTTTCTGTATTTAGCTGTCACTTTTTAGGTCTCTTCCCAGGAAGAGCAGCTGGGGAAGGTTACGAGAGGTCTGCTGGTGAGGAAACGGGCCCTTCCTCCTTTTCTTGTATTTAAGAAACCGGTTCCGCGCTGCCCGGCCCGAAACATCCCCATCTAATTCCCCCTGTGGGCCTGCAGCTGGTGGCCCTCGGGCCCGAGAGGCGTCGGTGTGGGATGACAAGGGGCAGATCCTGCCCTGGAGGAGGGACAGTGACCCCGGCAGCCACCACGCTCACCCCACGACAAGTGGACATGAGCCCATGCCCGCTGCTGTGGCTGCCCCGACATCGTGCTGTGTCCTAACAGCCCCGATGGGCACACGTGGGGCACCCACCCAGAGCCCCGGGGCACCCCATGGAGCTGTGCCGGGGGATCCACTGCCTCCAGTGCTCCTCACCCAGCGCCAGCGTGCAGCGCAGCGCTGTCTGGGCAGCCGGGCACCGACGTCTTCCCCGTCCCCGTGGGCTGAGCCGGGACCTTCCCCAGACACACGGCTCTGCGAGGTGCGGGGCGGCACGGTCCCGGCTCCCTGTGCTGGAGCTGACGATAACGCCGTGGCCCCGCAGCCGGCGCGATGCAGACGAGGGGCGAGAGGCGGCGGGGAGGCTCGTCTCGCTGTGCCTGCGCCGTGGCGTCAGTCCTGGCGCTGCTTGGCACTTGGACGTGTGTTAAAACGCAGGCTGGGGCCGTGCACGGCACTGCTGCCTGCAGGTGAAGGCCGAAGCCCCTCTTATCTGGCCTCGTGCCGGCCTCCTGTCCCCTCTGTTTTGTCTTCGGCGTTTTGCTGCTTCCCCATCCCCGGCTCTGCACAGGGTTTGGAGCCTGGTGGCGGGGCCAGGCTGCGGCACTTTGGTCTCTGTCACCCCAGCCCTCAGGGCTCTGTGTTGCCTCCTTGCTCGCTGCCCCGTGCCGCCGGCACTGCCCTGTGCGTGCCAGCACCCCCCGGGGTCAGGAGGCGCAGGGTGTGCATGCTGCCCCTTCCCCCCGCCACGGATCCCCTTTTGTTCTGCTCCTTTATTGCCCCATGGCTTGCCAGGATTTGGTCTCCCTGCTCCCCGCACCACCTTGGGGCTGCTGAAGAAGCCAAGCTGGGGGGGTTGAAGAACCGTGACCCCCCCTCAGCTCTGGGCTTCACCAGGGCGCAGCGCCCGGCCGGGGCACGCTGGCGGTGGCCGGCGGTGTTTCCCGGCCCAGCTGTGGGGCGAGGGCGCGCAGGAAGCAGGCGGGAGCTGCGGCTTCGGGCGGGACGGGGGCTTCTCCGCCGGGAGCTGTCATCTGGAAGCCATCAGCGGGGCGGAGGGAGCCGCCTTCCCGGGGCCACACACGCCGGCCGGCCCCGCGGGGACGCAGCCGGCGGCCTCGCCCTCCCACCCGCACCGGGTCCCGCGGCCGCTGCCAGCGCGTGGGCACGGCGTGGCACGGCCCCGAGGCGATGCCGGTGGAGCAGGCACCCACACGTGGCTCCGGACAGGGCGTTTTTTGCTCAGGGGGTGTCCGTCAGTCCCTCTTCCTCACGGCTTTCTGGAGCTTTCTGGAGCTCTGTGGGGACGGGAGCGTTCCCAGCTTGCCCCGACGGCAGCGTCAGGGAGCCTCTCCCCGTCCTGCACAGGACAGAGGTTGTGCTGCGTCCGTCCTACCTGCACCTGGAGCATCCACCCCGTGGGCTCAGCATGGCCGTGCTGTCGGGATTTGGCTCTGCCCTTCCAGAGGGTTCTCCCCACGGTGTTCCCCATCCCTTCGGCCACTTGGGGCTGCAAATCGAGGCGGTGCGGTGCTGGGGATGCCGGTCCCTGGGGGTGCAGCCCTCCCACCTCTCACACCCAGCCTCTCTCGCAGCTTGGCCAACATCCCGTTGACTCCGGAGACCCAGCGGGACCAGGAGCGGCGGATACGCAGGGAGATCGCCAACAGCAACGAGCGGAGGCGGATGCAGAGCATCAACGCCGGTTTCCAGTCGCTGAAAACCCTCATCCCGCACACGGACGGGGAGAAGCTCAGCAAGGTGAGCAGGGGCTGACGTGGGTGATGCAGGTGTCAGTCCCACACCTTGTGGTTCCCGACACTGCTTCTTGCCTGGGAAGGGCAAAGTAGGGGTCGTGCTGGTTGCAGGGAAATCCCAGGGGAGGTGCGGGGCAGGGGGCTCGGGGAGGGACCGTGATTTTTGCCTCACCACCCCCCTTGGCTCTCCCGCAGGCGGCCATCCTCCAGCAGACGGCGGAGTACATCTTCTCCCTGGAGCAGGAGAAGACCCGGCTACTGCAGCAGAACACCCAGCTCAAGCGGTTCATCCAGGTGCTGCCCCGGGCGCTGCGAGGGGACGGTCCTGGGGGCTGGGGAAGGGACAGTTCCCGCTGCTTGGGGTCCGTCCTAGGACGTGGAGAGGGGGGGGAGCGGATGGAGGCACCGACCCCGCATGCTGCCCGTGTCCCCAGAGCCCCTTCCTTTGTTGGGGAGCCCTGGGATGTGCTGGGGACGGCCACAGGGGTGGCACTGCCCAGCCCTGGTCCGGGTGGAGGGCTGGGAGGGGAGGGCAGCACCAGGGCTGAGCCCCCATCCCCTGACACCGCGTCCCCGTGGCGGCAGGAGTTCAGCGGCTCCTCCCCAAAGCGGCGACGGGCGGAGGACAAAGACGAGGGCATTGGTTCGCCGGACATTTGGGAGGACGAGAAGGCCGAGGACCTGCGGCGGGAGATGATCGAGCTCCGGCAGCAGCTGGACAAGGAGCGCTCGGTCCGCATGATGCTGGAGGAGCAGGTGAGGCTGTGGGACGGGGCTGGTGGTGTGCGGGGAGGGCTCGCCCTCTAGCGGGCTGCACCATGGGGATGCTGGAGGTGGTTTGGGGCCGGCTGCGTGGCTGGGATGAGCCCCTCTTGTAGCAAGCCCCTCTTGTGAGGAGAGGGTTCCACCATCCAGCTCCCTGTCCCCAAGCTCGGCTGTGTGCTCTCCTCCGTGTCCCCACATTGTCCACCCCATGGCTCCGTGCTCGGGGATGTCCCGGCTCGGGTCGGGGCAGCGTGCACGGCACGGGCTGTGCTCCCCCAACACTCCAGGGTTTTCTCTCCTTGCAGGTTCGCTCCCTGGAGGCCCACATGTACCCCGAGAAGCTGAAGGTGATTGCTCAGCAAGTGCAGCTCCAGCAGCAGCAGGAGCAGGTGAGGTTGCTGCACCAGGAGAAGCTAGAGCGCGAGCAGCAGATCCGAACCCAGGTGAGTGCGGACGCGTCCCAACACCCGCCCGGCTGCGGGGACGCCCCGGCAGCCCCCGTCCCTGCAGGTTTTCCCCTGGGATGTGCGGGGTGGAGAAGCACAAGGGGTCAGGGTGGTTCGGTGAAGGGCTTGGCACCGGTGGGAGGCTGGGGTGGGCAAAGCGCCGGTGTTAGGGAGCTTGGAAGGGGTTGGTGCTGAGGGTTCACCTCTCACTGGGGGACTCCAGCTGATTTTTGGGGATGCCAGAACCGCTCGCTGCCGCCTGCAAGGCTGGGACGGGCAGCAGGCATCGCTGCCTGGCAGAAGCAGCAGGACTGCAGGGCCAGGAGCCTTCATCCCTAGGGGTGGGGAGCGTAAAAGGGAGCGAGGAACAGCGGCTTCCTCTGTCGTTTGGGTTCTGCAGAGATGCTTCCCTGCAGGAGCCCTCCTGGCTGCCTCCTGGGGAAGCTCAGCCTAATTTTAGGTGAAGGCTCCTTAGCCTCCTGCGAGGGCAGCTCTTTGCACCCGCTATTTTAGCAGGGATTTTTGAGGGGTGCAGCGTGTTCCCGGCCGAGCCAGTCGGGACGGTAGCAGGGCGAGCGCACAGCAGCTGCTTGGGTCTGGCTTTAAGCCTCTGCCTGCCTGAAAACCGAAAGCGTCAGGATACGGCGGGGGGGGGAGGAATTCTTCAAGTTCATCCGGATGCCTCCTGCCCTGCCAAAGCCAAGCTGCCTGCAGCTTTCAGCTGGCGTCCTCTTGTGTCCATCCAGGAGGGGCGAGCAGCAGCTGATGGAGCTTTTATGGCCTCTCGGCAAGCGGCGCTCCCCATCGCTGCCTTGCCTGGGTCCAGGGTCTCCTGTGCAGTTATGGGGCTGCCCCTCTTTTGGTTCCCACTTCGAGCCACGGTTATTTCAAGTGGAAACTGGGCATGGAGCATGGTGAAACACTGCTGTGAGCAGGAGGGATGGGTTAGGGCACTGCTTCCATCCCTGATAACCTGCATCGGGGTGGCCACGAGGCCCCCAGCACCGCTCCGGGGTGCAGCACAGTGTTGGGGTGCTCCTGGGGACGTTCCCGTACAGCTCACAGCTCTGGGTAGGGCAGAGGCAAAGGGGACGAGGGGTTTGGGGCAGGAGCTGTCGCCCTGGGGTGGGGGGGAGTTCCCCAGAGGGAAGCTTTGCCTTGCTGACTGGGGTTTGCTTCTGTGCCCAGCTCCTGCCAGCACACGGTCCCCCAGCGCCCACCCACCACCCCACTGTGATCGTACCAGCACCACCTCCCTCCCATCACGTCACCGTGGTCACCATGGGCCCGTCCTCGGTCATCAACACAGTCTCCACGTCCCGGCAAAACCTGGACACCATCGTTCAGGTAGGGAGGGTTTGTGGCAGTGCAGAGGGGAGCACCAAAGGGTGCCCTGGGGACGTGGTGGGTCCCCAAACCCGACATGAGGGTCTGAGGGGGGTGTCACCGTCCTGACGGCTGTCGGTTGCCCCCGGCAGGCGATCCAGCACATCGAGGGGACGCAGGAGAAGCAGCTGCAGGAAGAGGAGCAGCGGCGTGCCGTCATCGTGACGCCCGCCCGCGCCTGCCCCGAGCCCTCCGCCTCCGACACCGCCTCCGACACGGAGGGCAACGACAGTGACTCCATGGACCAGAGCAAAGAAGACCCCTCGGGGGAAGGGGAACTGCCCTGACACCCCCCGGCCGGCAGCCGGGGCGGGGAGCGGGGCGAGGGAGGGAAACGTCAGAGAATATGCTGAAATTTTTAAAAAATACGATGCGATTTGGGTCTCTTTTATGACCTTTTTCCAATACTGTAAATCAGAGCGCTAGAACCGGGCGACGTTCGCTGCTCAGTTCCCAGCGAGCGGGGAGCCGGGGGGGGGCCGGGACAGGGGGGGGGGCGGCGGCGGGCACTCGAGGGGGGACAGAACTGGAACCGGGGCTCGGGGTGCAGCCGGGGTTTGGGCCGGGCGGGGGGTCAGAGCCCCCCCCTCAGCCCCCCCCCGGTTTCATCAAACTCGCCCCCCGCCCCCGGGAAATCCTGCAGAACCAAAGCCGGTCCCGGCGTTCCCGCTGGCGAGCGGGCACGGTGCCGGCCGGAGCCGGGTTTCCCTCGGGACGCCGGGGCAGGGGGGGGGGTGTCGGTTGGGATTTTGATTTCTTTCCACCTCTTTTTTGTTTTGTTTTAAACTTTTTCGTGTTTTTTTTTTTTTTTTTTTTTAAGCAGGGGGGGGGGCAGACTGCAAGCGACGCGGTCGCAGACACAGCACCGGCTCTCCCTGAGGGATGGGGACCCCGGCTCGGGGTGCGCCTGCCGCCCCCCCCGGCGTCTCCTGCTCCCCACGAGCATCCTGCACCGTGCCGGGGCGAGGAATCCCACCCACCCCGAGAGCAAACACCAGCGGGATCCGGCTCGTCAGAGCACGGGCTGCCCGGCACACCCAGCCCCCCCCCACGGGGATGGGGTTTTGGGGTTTGATTTTTGGTGCCGGGCCCCGTGGGGCTCCCCTTCCCTCTCCCCTCCCTCCTTTAAGCACTTAATCCGGTTTGCGGGGTTCGTCAGGTGAGAAGAGCTTTTCTGTTTCGTGGTTGTGTCGCTTCTGTTTTTCGTTGTGGGCAGGGGGGGGCCCCACTTTTGTCCCGCCTCTGCCCCCCGCCTCTGCCCCCCCCTCACCCCCCCGTTTGGCTGTAGGGTTTTAGGCCAGTCGTGTGTAGAGCCTTGTTGGTATTTGGTAGGTTCCTCCCCAGCCACAGCTGTTTCTCTCTCGGTTTCTTTCATATTTTTTTTTTTGTATTTTTTTTTTACGATTTTCAGGTCTTTGTGTTCATTGAGAAGCTATTATATTTTGTTAAGAAAGTGAAAAAAAAAAAAAGAGGCTTGTGCCTTTGTAAAGAAACAAAATAAAGTTTGTACTTTGTTTTTTAGAAGCTCTGCCCCAGCCTTATGTCTGTGGGGATTCGGGGATGGGGTGGATCCGGCCCTGGGGACGCTGCCCCCTGGAAGCAGCCGGGATGTGGCAGGAGGATGCCGGTCCCGGGGGGGCTCCAGGGCTGGTTTTGATGCCGTGTCTCAGCTGGGGGGAGGCTGGGGAGGGGATTTCTGTTCCCAAACGGGGGCCTGATGTGCCACAGGATTGGGGTGCCAGGATGGGGGTGCCCCATGGGGCACTGTGGTTTGGGGAGGGGGGGCACCACCTCTTCGCAGGGCTTTTTGGGGGCACCCCCACGGGCCAGGCTGTCTCCCCCTCTGTACCCGCTGTGCCTGGCAGGGGCCGGATCCTGCATCCCCTCTGCGCCCCCTCTCCCAGCACAGTGCGTGGCCTCCTGCACCGTCGTCCCCATCCCCACCACCCCCTGCTCTTGATGAGCTTTGGGATGGGGGGAACTTTCTCAAATATCCCCAGGACGCTGGGTGCTTGTCCCCATCCCTGGGGACCCCTCTTGGCACGGGACGGTGACCCCATGGGCAGTGCCACCTCCTTGCCACCAGCCCTCCCCGTGCTGCCACCCCCGTCCCCCGGCTGCGGGCCCCCAGGGGGGATCGGTGGCGGCAGCATCTGTGCAGGGCTGTGCTGACGGCCGCCAGCCCGGCCCCGCGGCCCCCGCGCCGTATAAATAGAGGCAGCGAGCGGCAGAGAGCTCCTGGCAGCCACCATGAAGCGCCTCAACCTGCTGTGCTGCTGCGTGGCCTCGCTCCTGCTCCTCGGCACGGCAGGTACGGCTCCCGCACCGTGCCCGCGGGGCTGGGGGTGTCCGCGGGGATGGGGGTGCTCATAGGGTTGGTGGTGTCCAGGGAGCTGGGGGTGCTTCTAGGGCTGTAGGTGCCTCTAGGGCTGTGGTTGCGTATAGGGCTGTGGGGCTCTGTGGGGCTCTGGGTGCCCACTGGGGTTGTGGGGTGCCTACAGGGCTGTAGGTGCCTATAGGGCTGTGGGTGTCTATAGGGCTGTGGGTGTCCGTGGGGCCGTGGGTGCCCAGTGGGGCTGTGGGTGCCCAGTGGGGCTGTGGGTGCACATGTAGGGCTGGGTGCCTGTGGGGCTGTGGGTGTCTGTGGGGCTGCAGGTGTCTTTGGGGCTGCAGCTGCCTGCAGGGCTGTGGGTGTTCATGGTTCTACAGGTGCCCGTTGGGGCTGCAAGTGCCCATGGGGTGGTGGGTGCCCACACGGACCTTTGGGTGCCTATGGGGCTGTGGGTGCCTGTGGGGCTGTGAGTGCCTGTGGGGCTGTGGGTGCCCATGGGGCTCTGAGCCCCCCCGGGGCAGTGGGTGCCCCATGAGCCCAGCCTGCCCCCAGGGCGCGTGCCCCATGCAGGACATGCTGCAGGGCTGCAGCCGGCTGAGTTCATCCATGCCAGGGCTGCAGTCACCCCAAAACTATGCGGGGCCACAAGGGCGGGGGGAGGCTGTGAAGGTCCCCACTCCACAGCCGGGGTGGGTGCAGGGGCTGTGCTGAGGGCAGCACCCACGGGCTGCGAGGGTGAAGCCCCCGCCTGGGGTCCGATGGGCTCCGGGGCACCCAGCACAGCCCCCTCTCCCCCCCCAAATATCTGCCAAGCAAGACAGCATTGGGGTGACCCCCAGACCCCCTTCCCCTGCTGAGCACCCCGGTTTTGTGGTGGCGCTCGGCCGGCCGTCCCACGGGGGAGCCGGCGACATCGCCGTTACCCTTGCTTGCCCTTGAGTTAATTTGGGCCGGTTCGCTGCCTGGCCGGGCTCGGGCGGCCGCGCTGCCGGGGGGGCGGCTAAGTATGGAAACAGCCCTGTAATGGGACACTGAGCTCCTGCGGCCGCCCTGGCCCCCGCGCCACTGCGGCCCCGCGCGCGGGCACCCGCAGCTGCTGCCTTCTCGCAGCCCGGCACCCCCTGGCCCGGCAGAGTTTTTTATCCTTTTAAGGGCATCTTTTACCCTTCTGGGGAATAAAAGGGGTTCGGGGTGTGGGATGTGTCCCGTCGGTGGTTGGGGGACCTCTGTGGGGCCGTGCGCCGGGGATGGGGACAGGAGTGCCAGGGGGATCCTCTTCGGGCATGGCTGGTGGCTGGTGCCACCCAGGGCTGGGCTGGTGGCCCTGTGGGGGACCTGTCACCGCAGGAGGTGGCCCCAGTGCTTGGGGCTTTTCCTTTGGTGCAGAACCAGGCTCTGGGACACGCTCCCCTCTGGCCTGCAGGAGGCCCCTGTCACCCTGTGCCTGGCTTTTCCCATGGGTTCCGCCGCCATCTTGAAGGCCTCGGCTTCCCGAGGGCCGTGCAAGGCCCCGTGGCAAGGAGATCACAGGGGGACCCCACAGGAAGGGTTATCACAGGCACCTGGTGGCTCGGGGTGGGCTTGGGGTGACTCCTGCAGCCCGGTGACCAACCCCGGCCTCATCCTTGGCACGTGGGGGTGAAGCCCCCCCAGGTTTTGTGGTGTTTTTTAGCTTCTGTGTGCCCAGCCCCACTGTGGTGACGCCAGGGGCTGAACGCGCTCGTTCAGCCCCTGCCAGAACGGCCCTCGGCCCACGTGGCCGGGGCTGGCAGAGCTCCCCGGCGTGGACGGGTGCTTGCCCACCTCCAGCTGGGCAAGGAGCTGAGGGAAGCCCTGGCACGGCGCAGAGGGCGTTACGGGGCTGGCACCCGGCTCTCCCCGTGGCAGCAGCCTCGGCCACCGCCACCACGCCCCGGGACTCCTCACCCTGCCTCCTCCCGGGTTCCAAGCACCCAGGACGTGTCAGCTTGGGGTGGAGCCCACCTCAGATTGTCATCTGGAAACGGGGTGGACATTTCCACCTGGAAAGTGTCATCTTGTGTTGCCTGGGTACACCACCTTGAGGAGCGCCCCATCTTCTGGGAATGTGTCCCAGGACACCAGTGGGACATGTCACCTCATGGGGAGCTCCATCACCACGTCCTCGTGTCAGTTTGGGGTGATCCCCATCACAAGGGGGTTCTATCACCTGCAACACGTCACCTCGTGGTGGGCTCCATCACTGGGAATCTTGGGGTGGGTGGCATTATCTAGGCCAAGTCACCTTTGATGCCCTGTCCCACCAGCCCCGACGTTTCTGGGAGCACTCTTGGCACGCTGTGCAGGTGACATCCAGCCACACAGGACGTGTGGATGGGAAACCTCGCTTGTGTGCAGCCCCCTGGGCACAGGGTCCCCATGGGGAAGGGGTTGGGAGCTGAGCTGCAGCCAGGGAAATGTCCCCACCATGTCCCCACCACGTCCCCACTCACCGACCTGCCTGCTGCTGGGGGTGCCGAAATCCCAGCCTGTGAGGCAGATCCTAGAGTGACCAAATCACTCCTAAAATCACCTCATTCTTCAGGCGCCACAGGAATAGCAGCGGTGCTGCTGGCTTGGCAGTGTTCCTCAGGGCTATTTTAAGCCCGCGGGGACATTTCCCTTGTAAGCGATAGCCCGAGGAAGCCATCGAGCTCGTGGGCTGGCGGGGGCTGGCGAAGGGGCTGGGGAGTCTCCAGCCAGGCACCCCGAGCCATGCCGGGGTGCTGGCACCAGGAGAAAAGCCCCAGTGCCAGCCGGGGTGGTGGGACCCCAGCTGAGTTGGGATCTGTGTCCTTTGTCCTGCTGCTGGGGCTACTGGAGGGGGTTGGGTCCCCTCCAGCCCCAGGTCCTTCAGCATCTCTCGGCACACAGCCTCCTGGCCGGGGAGCTGCTCACGGTGTCACTCTGCTGCCCCTGTCCCTGACAGGAACACCAGCGTGGGCACCCTGTGGGAAGACAGTTGAAAAACGCCCCGCAGAAACGATTCCCAATTTTCATCTCTATATTTAGCGAGCCCTGAGCCTGGTCTAATCCATTTGGTGCATCCTGGTGAGGTTCCCTTACCCTGACTCCTTAATCAAAATATCATGCAGCTCTACCCCACTATTCACAGAAATTAAGTCTTTTTTTTTTTTTTTTTTTTTTTTTAGTCTGACTAATCTGTTTCCTGTGTCAGCAGTGCGATCTGCATCGATCAGACATCTCCCCCTGTAGGTGGGCAGCTGGGATTTCTGACATCACGCTGGGATTTCTCCTGCAAAAAGGCTGGAAAATGCACTGGGGTGGCTGGAACTGCCCAGGGTGGGAAACTGAGGCACGGGGCGGGGGGGCAGGCAGGAGCTGCTAGATCTGGCTGGCGAGGCAAATCCTCCTCGAGGTGCTTGCCCTGGCAGCAGCGTGGGGCATCCTCCTTTTCAGACCTTCTGTGCATTCCCCACCTCCTTTCCCCTGGGCTGTTCGTGCTGTAGCTGGAGGTGAGCTGGGCTCTGTCCCCAAGCAGAGGCAGGGACATCGCCGTGACACAGGGGGACTGCAGCGGGGCGGACGGCACGGCCGGTGCCACGGGAATCCCAGGAGGTGCCAGGCGGTGCCTTGGAGCCCAGCCACCTCCCGGCACCTCTGGAGGACTTTGTCAGAAGCAGGCACATGGTTTGGGATTCATGCAGCTTTGCCAATCCTCAGAAAGAGGGGAAAAAGGGGCTGGGGGCTTCCTCAGGTCTGGTACAAAATTCTCCAGCAGGAAACGCATGCTTCTTTCTTTCAGAGCAGCAAGATGTCCCCCTAAGTCAAAGATCCCATTTGACCAGAACCTTTCTTTGACCAGGCCTAAATAAAAGGAACGAAGGCATGAAATAGTGCTTTGGCAGCCGAGGCCTGGCCTTGGTTTCCCTCCAGCCCTGCCCGTGTCCCTCCGGGCAGTGCCACCGTCACTGCTGCCACTCCAGCTCCCACCGGGACGGGCACGGCCGCTGGAGCAGATGGGGACATGTGTCTGGGGTGTGGGGTCCCCCAGAGCCCCTCGGGGAGGGCATGCCTGGTGGTGGCAGTCCCCTCTGTGACTTTCCCCACGATGCTGGTTTATGGACTGCCGGTGGGACCACAGGAGAGCAGGGAAAGGCAAAGTCGGGGTTCGCGTGGGGCTCTGCGCCCCTCAGGGCATCTCGTGGTGCCTCCCGGGGAGCCGCTGAGCTCTGAATCAGCCACGCCGTCAGAAATAACTCCCCGCGTGCTGCAGGGGCTGGGATTCGGGCAGGGGAAGAGGGCGTGTGAAAAGCCATCCCCGCGGCGCTGCACATCGCCGGCCCCACGCTTGGGGCTCCTATTTCTGCTGGAGGGGGAGAGTGTCCTTCCCGGGGCCACCTGTGCCCATCTGTCCCTCCCGGCTGTCCCCAGCCCTGGCGCCGTCCTCAGAGGCAATCCCTCCCGGCGGGCTTCGTTCACCCGTGGTGCTGCCGTTTCATGCGGCCCTGTGCGAGGATGGCAGGAGGCAGCACGGCAAGGAAGGGTCATGGGTGTTGTAGCCATAGGATGGTGGAGCCATCCCTCTTCCTGGCACCAGTACTGGTGTCTTGTGGCACACTGAGCTCACCGTGGGATTCCCGTCACGGCTGTGCCCCACACCGCTGTCCCCAGCCATGTGGGCAGGGCTGGTGCAAGCTTGGGGACCTGGGGTCCCACCACCAAGGAGGGGGGCAAGGTCTCCGATGTTGCTCAGTAAAATGTAGGGTGTGAAGCTGGGGAGCCCTGGAGTCATCTTACAATGGGTCTGCACAGTGTGGTTGTCCCACTCTCTCCCACAGTGCGTGGGGACAGTTCCTGGCTGAGGACGTCACCCTTGGCTGGCAGGCTGGCACCGGGGCCCAGGGGCTGGGGATAAGCGAGTGGGTGCCTGCAAGGGGGCTGGTGCCATCCGTGCCCCCGCTGAGCTGCTCCTCTTGACCCCACCGTACAGTTGCTGGACGTATTTTTAGCCCACGGAGGCCGGGCGGAGGGTGTTAAGCCCATAACCTTCGGCCCATTTTGCTGCGCGGCGCTCATCAGCCGGCCATCTGCAGATCAGCACAATTCGTCTTGTGATGGATTTGGAGACCATGTAGGGGAAACAGGAGGGAGAAGGAGGTGGAGAGGGGAGAGGGACTTTATATAATGCCGTGAAGGTCACAGGAAATAAAGCCCGTGGCCGGCACACCAGCAGGAATATCCCAGTTGGAGCGCGTGGGGAACATTTCCCTTCTCCCACAGGGGATGGCTCACAGCTGAGGGTCCCAGTGGGTCACTGCCCAGGGGACACGTCCGTCCCCTGCATTCAGTCAGAGGGGTCACACCGGCCCTGGAGACCTCCATTGGGGTCTCCTTTGGTCCCCTCCTCACCTGCCCTGACCCTCTCCAAATGCCCACTCGGGGATCAGCTTCCCTCCAAGCCCTCCGGGTCACCAGCTATTCTGGGGCCACACTGGGAGTCTCCCTGTCCCCATCCACTGCGGGGAGCCTCAGGGTGTGGGTGGGCAGAGCACGCCTCGATCTGGCTGGCCTCTTCAGACCCTCTTGGGTGGGAGCTGCGTGGGGCTTGCCGTGCTCCAGGCTGGACGTGGAGCTTCCTGTACCTGCGAGCCGCCTGCTAGGACAGGATTTGGGAGGTCAGCGTGGGCAGAGAAGGGTGACTGTGCATCTGTGACAGGCGTGGGGATGCTGGCACCTCTGAGCCATGGTGCCAGGCTGCACATGAGGACTACGAACCCTGGCAGGCTGAGGCGGGCTGGTGCCTCCCAGCTGCCTTCCGCTGGCACCGTTTGTCCCCCGGCGCGAGCCCTCAGCTGTCGTGTGACTGCGGGCTATCAGCGTGGCTGTCCCCAGCATGGCACGGACAGACACACGGCCAACTGCCCGGCGCTCTACTCCAGGGCTGCAAAGTGTCTGCAGAGGGCAAAGAGGCCTGGGGTTGCCCCACACTGTCCTTGGCTCTGCTCCTGCCGTGCTCACACCGGGGATGGGTGGTACCCAAAATTTCAAGGGTGTTTTAAGTCACACTTGAAGCAGCAAGCCAGGTCCCCGTGTCCCCAGCACAGCGCTGCAGGGCCATGGGGCACGAGGCCGGAGGAGGATGCCGGCTCCATGCCGCGTGCCGTGTCCGTGCCCGCTGCCTTCCCGCGGCCGGGGCGGAGGTGGCGTTTCTCCCGGTTGGCATCTGCTTGCCAGCTGGAGTACAAAGGCATTATTTTCCTCTGAAACGCTTCCCTGGTATGCAGGCATTAGAGTTTTCAGGGGATTATTTAGGCTAGCAGCAACTGTTTGTAACGGAGACAGTATAGCTGGTGATATTTTATTTTTGGCATCAGTTGACTAATGTTAAATTGCAGTCGGAGGCCTATGGAAAATACAGATGACTTCTCCCGGACTGCAGAACAAATTCATTGTGTTCCAGCCAGTTGCACGGAGTGGCAAATGTTTTCCTAATGAAGGGACGCTCACAATAAATAGCTCCGCGCCCCGCCGCGGGGTCAGGCCCTGTGGTGCCGCCCGGCCCAGCCCTTCCTGCGCGCTGCCGGCTGCGGAAAGGCACGGCCCCGCTGCGGGGAGCCGCCGGCGAGGGGCTGGGGAAGGACCCTTTCACCTGCCAAGTGCCCGAGGCCTCTCGCACCCAGCGCCCCACTTTTGTATCCCCACCACCACTGGGTTCTCTCTCAGGGCCGCTTCGCCGCCTCGCCCTGGCCCCACAGCGCTTCTGCGGCGCCCCACAGCCTGCACGGCCCCGGGGCCACGTCCCAGCCCCGCGCAGCAGCAGCGCTTCTGCCCGCAAGCACCTCTTTGCGTCCAGCTTCTTGCTACGGCCAGGGAAGCGAGCTGGAATCAGAGATGCATTAGGAGAATTTAAAGTCTTGGTGGCAGCCTCCAACCCCCTCTCTTGCCCCCGCTGTCCCCCGGCGGCTGCGCGCCCCACAGCCGCGGGCGGGCGCGGGTAAGACTGACCGAGCTGTTCTCATCGTTTAGAGCCGCGTACCCCAGCCCCAGATGTCGGCCGTGCCGCACAACGCCCCTCATCGGCCATGGAGCCCCAGCTGGAGGAGATGGCCGCCGCCGGCAGCCCTGAGGAGAAGGAAGATGGCGGCACCGCCAATGCCTCCATGCCCAGTGCTGCAGAGAATGGAGGCAGCACGGGGGAGGAAGAGTTGAAGGGAGGCCCGAGTGGGGCCACGGGGCTCAGCCAGGAGGGGCCCCACAGTGAACAGGGCCCCGGGGAGGATGAGGCCATGTTGGGTGTCCCTGAGGCAGCGGGAGAGGCTGCCCACCAGCATGGCCCACAAGATGGCTCCCGCGACCAGGAGAGGTGAGGAGGCTGATGGTGGCACCAAGGAAGCAGGCCGCTGAGGAGCAGGGGAAGCCTGAGGGAGAGAAAATGGAGGAGCCAAGAGTGGTGTCTGCTCCTGAGAGAGAAGAAGAAGGGGAAGAGCAGAGCTCAGAGGAAGATGACGAGCAGGGGGAATCTGAGGAAGAGGGTGGGGAGTCTGAAGAAGATGGAAGCAAAGGAGAGTCAGAGGAGGAGGGAAAGTCTGAGGAGGAGGGAGAGTCTGAGGAGGACGCTGCTGGCCCAGCAGGGCCAGAGGACGGAGCTGAAGGAAGTGACAAGGAAGAGACCTGGCGTTTTAGGGGAAAGTGGCCACAGCAAAGCAGCAGCTGCCAGCAAGGGAGAAGCCAAGGATGGCCCTACCAGCTGCCATCACCCACCGTGTGGGGACGTGGAGCCTGGCTCTGGCAGCAGCAGCCCAGCAACAGCAGAAAACCCACCTACAGCCGTGGAAGAACCAGCAGCAGCTGAAGACCCACCAGCAGCTGTTGAAACCCCACCAGCAGTAGTGGAAGACCCACCAGCAGTAGTGGAAAACCCACCAGCAGCAGAAGACCCTCCAGTAGCAGAAGACCCTCCAACAGCAGAAGACCCTCCAGCAGCAGTGAAAAACCCACCAGCAGCAGAAGACCCTCCAGTAGCAGAAGACCCTCCAGTAGCAGAAGACCCTCCAGTAGTGGAAGACCCTCCAGCAGCAGCCCCCCCTGCAGACAACCCATCGCTGGCAGAAACGGAGAGCCCACCCAGCCCCAGCGCCCACCCTGCTGCCGCTGAGCGCCAGCACAGCCAGATAGGTTGGAGTCTTTTGCTGTTGGTGTGCCGTAGTGTAGTGAGCAGAGGGCGGCGAGAGTGACCTACTATCAACCCCGGCGGAGCTGCGCTTGGCTCATTAAACTGCGCCTAATGCATGGCCCTCTCCTAACGCTTGTGCTTCCCGTGCCTGCCCCTAACTGCTGCACGGCCGGGCCAGCGGTGGCGCAGGTGGGAGCCCGCGGATGCCAGCTGCTTGTTGCAGCGATACCGAGGCTGCCAGCATTTCCCTCGCTGCACTTTAAGCCCATGACTTCTCCCATCTGTGGACACATGAACTTCTGCCCTTCCCCTCGGCCCCTTTCAGCAGCCACAGACCTGCTAAAGGACATTTGCCAGCCCTCAGAGTCCACCAGACCAAACTCCCGGCTCTCTTGGCATGCAGGCAGGATGCTGCCCAGGCCGGCAGGTCTCGTGTCCATCAGCCACTGGCCCGCAGCCCTTGCCATGTAAGGAACGTGTAAAGAGCCAATTCAGCTCACTGAATTGCTGAAGCGCCTGCTCTGGCCACGGACAGGGTGTGTTTGGTCACCGAAATGTGAGCTAGCTCAGGAAAAGTGACCCCCCCTTTCCATGTTTTACTAGAAACGCTTACGGACTTTGGCCCATGGGCTAGGCAGCAACCTTTGAACACAGCTGATTCTTTTTTGCTTCCTTCCGTAACATCCCAGCTCAAAAAGCTCACATTTGTGCCGAGAGGAAAACCCAGTTTGGAATCTGTGGCTTTACTTGGCAAGTCAAAAGGCCTTCCTCAGCCCCACGCTCAGGGAGAGGCTCAGCACAGTCCCTCGGGGCAGCCCCAGGGCCCGTCAGTGCCCCTGTTTGCCCGGGCACCTGTACCCCAGCCCAGCCAGTGGGGCACGTGTCCTTGAGGCCCTGCTCCAAAGCCCCAAGCCATGGGGCCCTCTGCTAGCACATCTGGAGCTGGGACACTTCTGTCCCCCTCTGCGGGGAGGCTGGGGAAGGTGCCCAGGGCCACCTCCTGCCTCTCAGCACCGAACCAAGGAGGCTCCGGAGAGGCAGCCACCAGCCTGGCAGGAGGCAGAGGTGGAGAGGCAGGAGGGAATCCCGGCCTCGCAAACCCTCATGTCTGCAGCTCGACGTGTGATTTTTGGGTGGTGGACAGGGAGAGAGGCAGAGCAGAGAGCACCCAAAGCTGAAGGGAGCTGCAGCTGCCGGGGGGAGCGGCGGGGTAGGGCAGGAGCCCCGTGGGCAGCAGCTGCTGCGTGCCCCAGCCCTGCGCTCCCCAGTGCCCGAGAGCCCCTTCCAGGCACATCCTTCGCATTCCCCGCGAGCACCGGCCCTCGCCTTCCCCTCGGGAGACACCAGGGGCCTCCCCCACTGGCCCCTCCTCGGAGCCAAGCAGTTGCCCGCGACGCTTCCCCCGGCAGCCATGGCCCCAGCAGCCCCGGCCAAGCTTCCCGGAGCATTTGCAAAACAGAAAGCGAGCGGCGTGCCAAAGCTGGCGGGTGCCGGGTGCGCAGCGGGGCCGCGGGCTCGGGGTGTGCGCGCTCCCCAAAGCCCTCTCCCCAGCAGCAGCTTGTGTGAGCTCCCGTGCGGGTCCCCCGCCACCAGCTCCAGCAGTAACGGGTCTCCTTGTCTTTCCCTCCAGAAGAGGTTGAGGATGCCAGCGAGCCCACCAAGCGCGACCGGTCCCACTTGGAGAGCACCCTCAAGCTGAACGAAGACAAACCTGCCGACGACTTCTCAGGTGAGGGAGCCCGGGTGGCACCGGTGCGTGCAAACCCCGCGCCTTTCATCCCAGCCATGTTTCCAGGATAAGCTCCCTGCCACTGTCTGAGAGCTGAGTCTGGCAAACCTGCTCTGCTTCGTGAGGAGCACGGACAGGGCTCCCCTTCCCTAGGCTGCTTTGTCATTAGCCTTATGTCTTGTGGGTGTCCATGTCTTCAATATCAGCCCTTACTAGCATACTTGAGGTATTTTAAAGACATCTCTAAGAACGTACAAGAATGAGGAGGCCAGAGAGAACTGGCAAATCATGAATTGGCCTGGGCCAACCACACTGCTGCCTGCTGCTCAGAGAAGCCTGGGGCAACTTATAATAAGGGGTTTTGATTTTTTTTTTCCAATTATAGATTGGGTATTATTCTTATAAGGCTTGCTTCTGCTGGTCCCATTGGCAGTCAGGACTAGAAAGGAAGCAATAAAAGCGGCTGGGAAATGCCAGCAGCAGGGGGGCAGCACTGGCTGCAGCAGGGGTCCCTGGGCTCCGTGGAGGACTTTGGGGATCACGGGTGTTGAGTGCTAAACGAGAGAGGCATTAATGAGAGAGGTTCCTTGCATCAGCTGCTGGCAAGCATGAGACCAGGCAGGAGATGGGGACAGTGCCCAGTAGGAAATATTAGCAGGGCAGGGGCACCAAGATGCGTGACTTGGATCAGTTTGGCCAAGGTTTCAAGCACGAGCTGCGTCTCTTGATCAGCTGTCACCCTCCAGGTCTGCAGGGAATGCCCAGCAGCTTACCTAGGAGGGATGCACCCAGGGTGGCTGGGGTTTGGCTGTCTCCCATCTGCATTCTTTTGCTCCCACAGGAGTACTGCAGCGGCTGAGGAAGATCTACCACTCCTCCATCAAGCCCCTGGAGCAGTCCTACAGATACAATGAGCTGAGGCAGCATGAGATCACAGGTAACGCTGCGGGCACCGGGGTCTCCGGCACCGTCAGGTCATTGGGATGCATTCAGACAGCAGTGCAGAGAGCAGATCATGGAAAGGCTCGGCTAGTTCGTCTTCCTCTACAGCTTCCCAAGAAGGCCATGAACATGCTGGGCTCGGAGGACGTGCCCTAGTGAACCCAGCACCCAGCGGCAGGCATTCCTGCATCTGCCTTAGCCCATCTGCTGTCAGGACCATCTGTGTAGGCTGAGCATTGAACCCTGCCTGCTTTGGGTCCTCCACCTGCTCAACATCAATGCTCTGTACCCGTGCCAAGCAGAGATCATGGCCCAGCAAGACAGGCTTGGCAAGGAAGCTTAGGACCTCTCAAGGCTGGGGTTGAGCTTCCTGGGGGTGGCTGGAGCTGGCATCCTTCCTGCTCCATATGGGACACGGCCATGTGGGCAGGGTATTCCTCAAGCTCGGCAGCCTTCACTCATCCCGGGAGTTAGAGTTTCCACCCCTTGGCAACTGCAGACACGTTGGATCAGGTGAGCAGGTTCCCGTGGCCATGGGCATTGGCTTGGGCTGAGCCCCAGCAGTGTACAAGTCCCTCCAGAAGAGGAAAGTGCAGCTCTGGCCCCAAGATGCTCACACACCTGGAGGCTCCTGTGACCCTTATGACATGAACCATCCCATTTTCCAAGCACAGAGGGCTCCAGACCCGGGTTAAGCCCTGTCCCAAGCTGGGACCAGGTCCCCCCGTTCTTTGGCTGCATGCTCACGTCAGCCTCCTGCCAGGGTCCCTCCTAGCCCTGGGGTTTTGATTCCTCCCCCAGACATCCTCAGGGCTTTGGCCTCACACCCTGGAGCCATGCCTGCCCCACCGGAGCCAGAAGGACCCCGCACACCACCCTGACTTTCCTCTGCAGATATTCATGGGTCCCCTGCTTGTATAGGCAAACCCACAGGACACATCCACCTAGAGCAGAACTCCTGCTTTACAGGGGCCCCCACTGCAGCCCAAATTCCACTCCTAGTGCCAGACTTCTGACATTTTGGCAGGCAGGCTTCCTCACCCCCAGCCCGGCCAGCTCCTCTCCAGCTTGGAGCCAGTGGGGAGCACGTGGGGGACCCACAGGGACAGCAGGACGGGGTAGGGACAGGGCTGTGGAGCCCTCATCACCAGCCCAGGTCCCGTCCCCACACCTCACAGCACACCCTGGGCATCGGCCACCACCCACCGGGGTCCTGGGGTGGGCGGTTGGAGGTCTCAAACGACCAGAGGCACATGCAGCTGCCCCGCAGCCCGCTCTGTGCCGCTGCCTTCGCGCTGCCTTGGCCTGCCTCAATGTGCCTGGGGGCCATGAGCTGCTTGCTGTGCTGGGGGGGGTCAGGGGGGGTCACAGCAACAAGCATCCGCTCTCAGCTCACCCCGGGGCACTGCGTTTTGGAGACCACTTGGGGTTGCAGGGGCAGATGGTGGACTCTCAGCTTCTTTCCATATAGGATGCAGCCCCAGTGCATAGCCCAGGGCCTAGCTCAGGATACCTGGGTCTGCTCCTCAGCCGTCCCATACCCAAGCAGCACCTCCCTGCTCCCTGCTGGGGAGTCTCAGCTGCCTGGCACAGGGCACAGCCAGGCACAGCCCCACTGGGCTGTGAGAAGCCCGGGCCATCCTCCCACGGAGCTGTCTCACCTTCCACCAAACTCCTCAAGTACCTCTGGAAACCCCAACCCCACCATACACAGTCACATCCTAAAAGCCTAAAGCACAGCACTTTGCCTTTTATACCCACTGGCACGGTTTTCCCCAACCCTTAATTAGTGGTGCAATTAGAGCAACCTGCAGATTAATGAGAGGGTTGGCCGAGGGAGCCCCTTTGGCTTTGTAGGGTGGGTGAGGGCACGGTGGGGCTGAGGGAGCCTTCTCAGCTGCTTCCACCTTGCGGTGAGGTGAGCCCCTGTCCTGCCTGTGCCCTATAAGGGGTTCCTGGCACCGTGGTGCCCCTGTGAGCAGGAGATGCCCCAAACCTCCCCCCGTGGTGAGTCCCCACAGCCGGGGAGGCTGGAGGGCGCGGAGCTGGCTGGGGGGGGAGCGGGACAGCTGGGCGAGCGGCGGGGCAGCAGTGTCATGGAATATGCATGACCTTTGAAGGTGTAAGCCAATATAGAGGGGTGCCACGGCAGGCACCCTCGCCCCTCCATTACGCGGCAGCCCTCCCTCCATTTTGTCCACCTTCCCCAGGCTCCCTTTTGGCCTCCGCTTTGGAGCCGCAGCCGCACCAGCCCCAGCATGGGTCCGAGCCAAGCGGGGCCTCCCCACCACGCACAGCGGTGCCCTGGGGAGCTGCGACTGGCACCGTGAGCCTGGCTGAGGCTCGGAATTGCAGCCCCGAGTTCACCCAGCTCCCTGCTCACAGCATGGCAAAGCCCGACAGGGGACGTCTCCATCCCATGCTCAGCATGGGATGGGTCCCCCGTGCACTTGGGTCCCTCGCTCGGGGAGCCTCGCAGCCTGGCGATGGGAAGCTTGCTGCCAGGCCGTGGTGCATGCTGCTGATGCTAATTACTGTGTATGTGCCAATTAGCCTGCCTGCTTAGGGGATGGCCTGATGATTGCCTTCACCAGGCAGTCCAGGGAGGCACGCAGATAACTGTGGGGTGGTCAAGGCACGTGTCTGGGTTGCTTGCTGTCCTCGTGTGGCTCCGTTTGCTTGGTGATGCTGCCAGGGAAGGCAGGGGCAGGAGGATTGGGGCGCAGGGCATCCCCGGCGAGGCAGCTCTGCCTGGGTTTGGATTCTCATGCTGGTAGCTGCGGGTCTCGTTGCTGACAGACTGTAACTCCTTCTTTCCTGCTGGAAACGTGGCCGTCCTCTGGCTTTGTCCTGCCTCCGAGAAGGCCAGGGCCGGTGTTCAGCTCCCTCTTCGGCCCGGGCCAGACCCAGGCAGCCGCATCCCTTCTTCGACTCACGGTACCTTTTCTCTCTCCCCGTGTCCCCTGCTAACAGCTTACCCCGGACGCACCCTGGGCTCCTCCGCCACAGGTTGGTATTGCTGCCTGCCCCCTGCATGCTGCCGGCGCTGCCTGAGCTCCTCACTGGCCTCTGGCTTTCCTCTTCACCCGCCCCAGCAGAGCCACGGCTCGGCTGCTCCCGCGCCCCACGGCACCCAGCAGCACAGCGCTGCCCCGGCACTGCCCGCCCCGCAGCCGTCCTCGCCTCTGCCAGGCTTCCAAACCTTTTTCCCTCGTGGGTTCAGTCTCAGGAGGGTGCGAGGTCCTCTAGTGATGGCTCAAGGGCTTTTCGTGGTGGGCCCACAGGTCCGTCTCCCACCCACGGGAGCGGAGCAGAGCCCACACTGCGGGGGTGATCTCTTTTCACCCTTCTACGTGCAGAAACTTCCCCAAATGCCTCCCCTTGATCCCCCCCGGCTGCAGTTTAAGCCGATGACCCAGCAGCAGCTGTCCTACTAACACAGCCTGGCCCCTGCGCGGCGGCCTCAGCCCTCTCGGGAGCTGGAGCTGGCTCCTGTCCCGTGTCATGCCCTGGGGGAGCTGCCAGGGCCCCTGGGAGCACCAGCCTGGAGAAGCAGGGGCTGGGAGGGAGGCCAAGAAGTGCCGGTGATCCCACTGCCCTTCCCCTGGGTCCCTGCTGTGGCACAAGGCACACAAAGGACAGGGAATCCCATCTTTTCATGTCCTACGCCACGGCCCCTGCCAAAGTGGGCTCCTCCGTACCCGGCCCCGAAGTGGCAGAGCCCCAGTGGTGCCCGAGGGCCTCTGGCTCCCTGTCATGCCAGCGTGCAGGCAGTGGAGAGCGTGGCAGATATATTTAGCGTGTCAGATAGCTGTGTTATCTGCGTCTCTGGCTGCACAGCCACACGGGTGTGCGTGCTTGCTGCTTGCGTGGGTGTGCGCACACGGGGCGAGCGCACGGAGCACCACACAGGGTGAGCATCCACGTGCAGCTTTCCCCCCGGCCGCGGGCACACGCGTCCTGCAGACAGCCAGGGGGCTTCGCAGGGGGCTGGCCTGGTGTTTGAACCCTCCTGGTTTGAGGGCAGAGTGGGAAGTTTGGGCCAGTCCGAGTCAGGAGAGGAGGGAGGCTCTGTCCACGTCCTCTGCCTTGCTGCGTGTCCTCAGGATGGATCCGCACCGCGGGGTCACCCTCACCCCACGGGGCTGAGCCAGCACCCGGCACTTCTGCAGGGTTTGAGGAAGGAGAAGACCCAACCCAGGGCTCGTCCTGGCCCCAGAGCAGCGGGGCTCCCACCTGAGGGCAGCAACATGGAAAAACCACCCACAAAGCCACTACGGTAGGAAAAATCCCTCCATGAGCGAGAGAAGCAGTTCTCCGTCCTCCCCTGCAGGCAGCAACCCTTCCAGGAGCAACAATGCTCCAGGGCATGGACTAAGGCAGAGCGGGACAGGACGAGATGAGCACAGCCTCTGCGGGGGAGATGTGGCCTGCCGGCCCTGACTGCCAGGTGCTTTGCAGCGTCTCGGCATGCTCTGTGCTCCAGGAACCCTTAGAGAAGCGGCTGCTGTGATTTAAGCAGAGCCACAAACGAAATGCAAAGAGCTGCAGGGTCTGAGGGTCCCCCCACTCACATGCAGGGCGAGATCATGCACCGACCGGCGTGAGGCCGCCCTGCAGACACCAGCAGGACGAGCTGGGATGCACTGGGACGAGCTGGGATGAGCACCAAGCGTGGCGTGAGCCAGGCTGGGCTGGGAGCGAGCAGCCACAGGGTGGCTGGAGAGAGCCGTGGTGGCGGAGCCGCCGTCATCCCGTGGTGGCAGGGACGGAGCCTCTTTTCCCCTGGCAGCAGCACCAAGGTGACGCAAACCCGTGCTGGAGGGACGCAGCGGGGGGCACCCAGCAGGGCAGGAGGCCTGGCCAGGCACCCAGCGGGGTGGGAGGCACGCTCTGCTTCCCCAGCCCCACACCTTGGGCAGCGGCGAGGAGGGCTCACGTCCTCCAGGGCCCAGGAGCTTTCCAAAGCAAGGGAGGGGATGGTTTGGGAGAGCTGCTGGTGACCTGCAGAGGGGCTGCCCATCTCGGCACGGCCACGTGCGGCCCCGGTGTGCAGGGAGGGTGCTGAGCCACGCACCTCGCACCCCAAGGAGCCCCCCCGGCACGTGCAGCGGAGCCGGGGCTCGCTGGCTCCTGCCCTCACCCAGCCACACCTGGCCGGGAACCTGTTATGAAAGAGCACGCGGGGACCCGCCTTCAAACCTCTGGCACAACATCACAGGGGATAATAACAATAATCATCCGAAACCCAATTAAAGCCGGCGAGCGAACAGAGCGGCAGCGATACAGTGGTACGGAGGAATGATTAGTAATGAAAGCCCGAGGTTTCGACACTTGTTTTTGTCCCGCATGGGAACAGAAAGGCAGATCCCAAATATTTTGGGGAGACAGGAGTGGGAAGGCTGCGTCTTCCCTGGCGGAGGAGACGGAGGGGGTTTGGTCTGACTGCCCCCGGGTGACGGCCACCCCACTGCCAGACCCTGCCTGCCTGGTGCTGCCTCACACCTCGGGGGCAGGAGCAGGGCTCGGGGCAGCCCCGCTGTGGGTGCCCTGTCCTGTCAGCGGGGGAAGGCTGCAGAGCAGGGGATGGGGATGAGCTCCCCACAAACAGGAGCTCACTCATCCAGTTTTTACTTCCATTTCTGGTCTTATTTGGCCTCGAGACGACTAGCATGCTCCCACCTGCCCAGGGCACTGTCTGGGGACCAGTATAGCCCAGGGGTTCCCATGCCCAGTGCCATTTGGGCAGTGGGTTGATGGTGCTGGTCGGCCCCAGCACCTCCTGGAGCTGCTCCTGGGCAGGGGACAGGTCGTTACGAGCTCCACGCCAGCCCTTGTGTGCGCTCCGTGAGCCTCTCAGCAAAGCGTGGGGCTTCCAGAGCATGAGCTGGGGACTGTGGTTAATTCTCCTCCTGCCTTTCCCCGAGCCCAAAGCAGGGCTGTTGGCTGAGCTTGCCCTCCCTGTGCCGGTCTGGAGCCCTGCAGCCTTTGAACACCCCAGCTCCTTTTGCACGAGGCGTTTACCCTCCTGCAGCATGGCCACGTCCCCTGCATGCCCAGTGCTTTGTGGCGCCTGCCCTCCAACAGCCCCCTGCAAACAGCCCCGAGCTCACCCTGGCTGAACTCGAACCGAGCCGAGACCCGACCTAAAAGACCTTCAACTTGTCCTGTAGTCTAAGAAGGGCCAAAGCTCAGAGCAGGGCAGACAGGGTTATGTATTATGTATAACCCACTACAATCTCGCCATGGTGGCCCTGCCGGGCGATGCCGTGGCTCAGCGGTGCCGGGAGAGCAGCCCCGAGGGCGGCCGTCTCCCCGAGGCTCTGCGGCCCTGCCGCTCAGCTGGGATGTTCATTACGGCAGGGAGTTAAATGCGCAGCGGCCACAGCTATTGTTTCTTCACTTCCTCTTGTTATTTCCCCTCTCCGCAGATGGGGAGATCACTTCCAAGCCGATGGTGCTATTCCTGGGACCGTGGAGCGTCGGTAAATCCTCCATGATAAACTACCTCCTAGGGCTGGACGACACTCCCTACCAGCTCTACACAGGTACCTCGCTCACCGCGGCCCCGTGGGCTTCTTCCCCTGCCACATCCCCATCCCTCAGTGCAGTGCTCGCCACCCCCAGCCCCCTGGGTGCAGCACAGCAGGGAGCCTGCATGGCTGCGAGAGCAGCAGCCCCGTAGCGAGGGCATCTTGATGTCTTCTCTCCATCCTGCCCCAATTTATTCATCCTTCCAGGAGAAAAGCCTTTCCCAATCCTTCCTCTCTGCTCCCACGGACGTTTTCTTGGAGCCTGGGAGGTGCTCCCCGTCTAGGCCTGGGCCAGCCCCTGCAATGGCCGGTGCCCAGCACAGATTTCACAGCTCTGTTTTACCTCTTGTGCTGGACAGGGGCAGAACCCACCACCTCCGAATTCACCGTCATCATGCACGGCCCCAAGCTGAAGACCATCGAGGGCATCGTGATGGCTGCAGACAGCGCGCGCTCCTTCTCGCCCCTGGAGAAGTTTGGGCAGAACTTCTTGGAGAAGCTGATAGGGATAGAGGTGCCCCACAAGCTCCTGGAGCGAGTCACCTTCGTGGACACGCCTGGCATCATTGAAAACCGCAAGCAGCAAGAACGAGGTAGGGCTTTACTGCGTTCATCCGAGGGACTCCAGAAAAGATGCTGTTACGATGAAGGATAGCAATGATGACTGAAACATGATGGGGAAGAGCCCTAGGCTACAGGACGGGGCTGTTCTCACTTTGAGGGGGTTAGGGAAGTTTGCCCGTGGCCTGGGGAACGTACTCAGCCATCATGGCTCAGCATTTGCTGTCCCGTTTGTCACTTGGAGCCAGGCTTTGCCAATGGCTGGTGCTGCAGCAGCGCCCAGAGGGGCACCTGGCACTGGATGCCAGGACAGGACCCCACAGGGCTTGCAGACCCTCTCGGTGCCCACTGGGGAAAGCAGTGCCGTATCCGATGCCTGCTGACAGGGGCAGCAGGAAGCTGTGGCTGGCAGCAGGGAGAGCAGAGGTTTGGAGGTGAGGCTGAGGGTGACGCGCAGTCACAGGCCCAGGCTCACAGGGATGAGTTTTCATGCCCAGAAATTAACTCTGAAGTGCTTTAGCACACAAGAAACGGGTTCTGTGCCACTTGGGAAGTCAGCTGTGTCTCACAGCCTGTCCAACCCAGACAGGGGGTGAGCCGCAGCAGGCTTGAGGTTTCTCTGTCCCTTGACCTGAAGGGACTCCCGCTGTGCTGGCCATCGCTGCTGGATTTCTCTTTCCTCTCCTCAAGGTTACCCGTTCAACGACGTGTGCCAGTGGTTCATCGACAGAGCCGATCTCATCTTTGTCGTCTTTGACCCTACGAAGCTGGACGTGGGCTTGGAGCTGGAGATGCTGTTCCGCCAGCTGAAGGGCCGAGAGTCCCAGATCCGAATCATCCTGAACAAAGCCGACAGCCTGGCTACCCAGGAGCTTATGAGAGTCTACGGTGCCTTGTTCTGGAGCCTGGCTCCTCTGATCAACTGTCACAGAGCCACCCAGGGTGTACGTTAGCTCCTTCTGGCCCCACTGAGTATCATCCGGACACCCACAAGGACCTGTTCCTCAAAGAAGAGATATCACTCCTGGAAGATCTCAACCAGGTGATTGAGAACAGGATGGAAAATAAGATCGCCTTCATTCGCCAACACGCCATCCGGGTGCGCATCCACGCCCTGTTGGTCGATCGCTATCTCCAGACCTACAAGGACAAAATGACCTTCTTTAGCGATGGAGAAATGGTGTTCAGAGACATTGTGGAAGATCCTGACAAGTTCTTTATCTTTAAGTCCATTCTGGCAAAGACCAATGTCAGCAAATTTGACCTCCCCAACCGCGAGGCTTACAAGGACTTCTTTGGCATCAACCCCATCACCAGTTTCAAGCTGCTGTCTCAGCAGTGTTCCTACATGGGCGGGTGCTTCCTCGAGAAGATCGAGAAGGCCATCACCCGCGAGCTTCCCGATCTGCTGGGGAGCATCGGCCTGGGGAAGAAGCCCAACGTCCTCTCCTGCGACATCACCGGCTGTGGCGAAAACCCAAAGAATCGCTACAAGAAGCCGTAAGGTTTCTGTAACACAGCCGTCCACGTGTTCCTACCGGTGAATGAGCTTATGTCTTATCTGTCCAAGAAGCCGTGGTCTGATAACCCTTTGAGTGCCACACTGGCAAAGGCTACTGTACGATGAGGACTTTGAGTCATTGACACCAATGGCAGGGGAAGATGGGTGGGCATAAGAAAGAGAATAAAAACTGTGAATTCCTGACATTTTATCTTTGTTCTTTTGAGTAGAAGGCAATGTTTAAGCTGTAAGTATGAGCAATGTGTGGTGAGCTAGAACTGTAGCTGCTTCTTCACTGGTGCCAAGATGGGCGAACTGGAATTTCAGCCTCTGCATACACGAAGCCAGCAGGGAGCGAGGACGAGGGCACGGCGAGAGCACAGGGGCGAGCAGTGACACAGTAACCTGGGGCATCACCGGGAGCCCCGGGGCACGGCGCTGCGCAGGGAAGCAGAGGCCAGGTTCCAGCTGTTGTTTTCAGGCACAGAAATCCTGCAAATCTCTGCAAATATTGATCCTGTTTTTCCTCCCAAGGCTTTTAGGTCACCTGGTAGAGTCCTCCTTTCATGTAACAGCCGAGCTTAACTTTGTTCTGCAGCCTTCACCTGGGCGTGAGCCATAAGAAGGGATTCGGTCCCCCCGCCGGGCGTTTGCAGGGGCATTTGTTGCTCCGGATGGATCACTGTGATGGGATCTGCAAGTCCGTGACAGAACAAGAAGTGGTCTGGAGAGGAGCTGCAGGACTTGGCTGAGTTGTGCTGGAGGAACAGGGGCAGCACCCCGCATCACAGAGTCCTGCAAGGAGCTGTCAGCAAGTTCTCTCCAGGCCAGCACCGAGACGGCACTTCGTGCCTGCTCCTGCCATTAACCTCAAAAATCCATGCTGGCAAGTCAAGCCTGAGAGTCAGCAGGGCTCAGAGGGTTAATAGTTTGGCAGTTTGACCTCATTTAAGTCCTCATTGCATGCTTTCTCCAAGCCGCCCCGGGTTTTTGTGCTCTGTGGAGGCAGACAGGAATGGGAGATGATGAGCCACATCCTTTTTTCCCTCTGCTGACCTCTTCTCCCCAGGACAATCCAGGCAGGTTTCTGTGGCTTATTGTCCAAACCTCACCCATTTTAGCCAGAATTTTGTTGGCTTATCTCTGTGCATCGGCGCTCAGTCCTGGGAGTCACAGGAGAATGACTTTTGCTTCAAAGGCAAATCCCAAGCAGGCGACCTTCCCCGGGGAAGCCGACCTTGGAACCTGGCAGCGAGCGCTGGAGGATGACGGGTGGCCCCCACCGCCGGGCTGCGCTGCCCAGCACAAGTGACAAAGATCTCCTGGACGGAGCCTGGTGCCTTCGAGCCCAGCCACAGCCTGCTGAGTGGCTTTTCTCCTTCCTCCTGCCAAAGGACCACAGCCACTGCTGCTCTCCAGGAAACCTCTGGAGCAGAAGGACTTACCTTTGGCAGGAACAAGAAGAGGTGGAGGTGCCGGGTGAGGCAAGAAGAAGGCAAAGGGAATGAGCGAGGGAAAGAGAAAGCTGGAAACAGAAGGCTCTGTTGTGATGGGAAGGGTGTGAAGGGCAGTGCCCCTTGTCGCCACGTGCCCCACGGGACGTGGGCCAAGGCAGAAGGTCCCTGGGGCCCCATGTCCCCGCGCGCTGAGGCTGGGTACTGCAGAGAAGAGGTCCCCTGAACCCAGGTGGGTTTGGGGTAATGCCACCCAGGGACTTCCCAAGCTCCTTGCCTCTGCTTGGGGTGAGGACTGTGCAGCTGAACTAGAGCCGACGAGACACAAATCCACCTCCAAGCATGGGAAGGGGCACATCTTGTGCAGAGGGGACTGGAAGTAACGAGTGAAGGCAAGGAGAGGTGTCAGAGAAAGCAGAAGCCAGGATAGCCTGGAGAGAAGTGATGCACTCATGAGTCAGTGCTGTGAGGTCTCAGACCTGCTGCCTCCCTTCGCTCCTGTTCCTTTTTCCCTCTTTCACGTTATCTCATTGCTCATCGCCGTCCCTCTCTATCTCACCCACTCTTTCTCGCCTCTCACTGTCCTCCGCTGGGTGAGTTTGCATGGTTTTCTTAAGAGCTAATGGCACTGAAATGCCAAAAGAAATGTGCTAATAGAGTTGCTGTTCTGCCGTTGCGCTGTGTGTCATTGTCACAGTAAGCAAAGTCCATCAAACCTTCTATTTGCAAGTGCCGTGTTGTGCCATCCCTTTCTTTGCTGCCTTGTCCCTCCAGGGCCCGTGGGCTCTGCCCGGGGTGCCCCATGGAAAGCCCCCGGAGCCCAGGAGGAGCCTGACCTCTCCCTGATGGCCTCAGACCTGAAGGCAGCATCACTGTGCTCTCAGGCTGCTCCCATCCTTCTCCCAGCCCCTTTCCTTTCCTTTTCTTTTGCTCCAGCTTTTCTTCAGCACTCATTGCCTTCTCTCCCATTTACGACCCCTCGCTCTCTCCTCCACCGCCTGCAGCCCCGTGCAAAGCACTGGCACGAGTGTCCCTGGACGGGGCTCCTCTGACATGGCCAGCTCCTTTCCTGGCACACTGCGCTGGGCTTCCCTCTCCCCCGCGACGTCCCACGCAAGAGCGATGGCAGCGGGGGGGTGTCTGAAGCTGGGGCCAGGCTGGGGCCACCTCCTGCTGCCCCCGTCCCCGCGTCGCGGGCTGCGAGCATCTCGCCTGAGCCCGCACTGGACAGACACTCGCAGGAGGACACACAGCGGGGACACAGGCCCGTGTAGGTGCCCGTGATCGAGTGCATTTGGATGAAACTGTCAGCTTGAACATCGGCCTGTCTAATAAATCCTGGCATTTTCCAAACACACTCCCTGCGGGTGCCTGTTTTTTTTTTCTCCGGCCCGAGGCCAGCGGGGTGAGGGTGGGGGGCAGTGGCCAGGTGCCCATCCCTGAGGCTACAAGGAACGCATCCCATCCCATGTGGGCTCTCCTCAGCACTGGGGTCCCCCTGCTGCCCCCAAGGAACACGAAGCCCAAGGGCACGCACAAGCAGCTGACGCCCTGCATGGCTGTGGCTTCTCCTCCTTGAGCATCACACTGGCACCCGCTCTATCCTGGGGTCCTGGTGCCCCCCAGTTATTTGCCTAGCTTGCTGGTCAGAAGGGGTTGTCCCAAGAAAGCTGGAATAGGCAGAGGAACATCTCACTCAGCCATGGCTCCTTTGGAAAGCCTGGAAAATCCACGGCGTCTCAACATGCCTGAAGGTCTGACTAGCGAAAAGCACAATTTCTTTCCAGAGCTACTTTAGAGACGTGAATCATGAGAAATTAACACTCCTGGCAGAATAAAAACCGATTCCACTGAGATGCGGTGCTGGCAGCAGCCCTGGTGTATCTCTTGGATGGAAAAGGCAAACATTTATCCCAGGACCTCACCGGGCAGGAGCTGCCCATGCTGCTGGCGGCCCCCGGCACAGAGCCCAGCTCCTGCCTGCACCCGGGGCTGGCTCGGTAGCGTTCCCAAAGTGTGGCCGTGGCACTGCCGATGTCCAGGCACAAGCTGAGGGTGTTACTGTCCCTGCTGCCTCCTCTGCCCCAGGACTTACCCCAAGGTCTCCATCGCCTGCCCCAGCGGTGCGTGGAGGTGATGGGACGTACCCGCTGCGGGATGTTCCCACTTCCCCCTGTGCAGGGCTCAGAAACCTGAATGAGCCCAATAGTAAATGAAAAAGGGTCGTGTTCTGCCTGCCAAAACACACCACTCGTAACCTCACCGCCCTCGGTAGCATCTCTGCATTTCAGGGATGAAAATATCCCAGTGGCTCTTTCGCAATGAAGTTGATTCAATTTCTGTTTGTTTGTTGTGTTTTATTTGTTGCTGTTTGGTTTGGTTTTGTTTTGCAGACATTATATTACACTTTGCAGGGGTGAGGAGCGATGCCTGTAACTCGATCAATTTTTCTCGCTGCAAGCACAAGGCCAGTGCTTCTCACTGTAATTAATTAATTAAGCCCCGCACCTCCCCAGCTGTACCTTCCCCACGGAGGAGCACCTGCATTTCGTTAGTGGCAGCCGCATGCGGGGAACTCATCTGTGTGCTGCCTCTTTCATGGAAGAGAACCAAAAACCAGGTTGCGCCTACGTGGGATGAGCTGGAAATCAGTGGGTTATGCCTGGGGCACGTACACGCTGAACCACAAAAGTGCACAAAGCCTTGGCAGCCCCGTGGCACAGCCAAGACCCTGGGCAGCGTGGAGCCCTGGGGAGGTCGCCTCAGCCTCGCTGCGTGCCCAGCAAGAGCAACGCAGGAGAAGCGGGGGCTGCTGGTGCGGGGGGCTCAGCCACCGAGCTCCCCTGGGTCCTGGGAGTGCGAAGGAGGAGGGAGGGGGGCGGTGGGTCAGGGAAGGGGGTCCTGAAGACGGAGAGATGGGATGTCTCTCTGCAACAGGAAAAATACTGCAAGACCACAGCCATCGGGAGATCTGCTGCACCAGCGAGCAGCCTGTGACCTTCAGCGGTGCTGGTGGCAGCGGGGACCGGATCGATGCCTGCAGCAGCCTCAGCAGGGGACGAGCAGGGTGAGCCGGGGGCATCAGCGGGCACCCTGCACCCCCAGCACCAGGCTGTTGGAAGAGGTGGCAGTGGGGACAGCACCGCTGGGACCTGCAGGACACCGGTGTGTAAGTGTCCGGGTCCTGTTTCCATCAAACCCTGGCTGCACAAGCGCAGCAGCGCTGTGACACTCGTGCTCCTCGTCCCCACGCGTGCCTCTAAAGCTGTCGGCACGGGGAAGCCCTTGCTTCCTGGCTGCTTTCTTGCGCCGTCTGCCGAGGGATGGGAAAGGCCAAGCGGGAACCGAGCGCTCCCAGGGATCGCAAGTGCTGCCCAGCACTTCCCGGCGCCCGTGATTAATTGTTGCTCTTAAATTCAGCGCTTTTATGCAGGATGGAGAACGGCCAGCCAGAAGCCCAGCTCCTGCCCCACCTGTCAGTAAAAAACATTGCGGTTGTATAGTTGTGGAAGGAAATAAGAGTAAATGCATCCTCTGTAAGTGGCTTCAGCTTTCTACGCACATCTGCATCCTACCATTTCCGCTTCGGTGGCCGGTCTGCTTCTGTTTTCCCTCTTCCCATGACCCGTACGCTGCTTTTCTCCTTAATCCTGTCTGCAGTTCCTGACGTGGGGCTCGGGGCAGCGCTGCAGCTATGGACAGTGGGGAGGAAAGGAGCCACAGCTGCCTCTGGCCAACTGCAACCGATGGAAATTTTGGGTAAGCTGCAGCTGCAGCCCAAGCCCTGTCCAAACTCAGGGCTACTCCAGGTGCTTTCTCCCTCCCTGATGCACGATGCCCTCTTCCCTCCTTTGGTTTGCCCAATTTTAACACTAGGGAGGGAAGCTGGCAAGCCAAAAAAAAACAAGTAAATGAGTGCAGGGCTGCACAGGGAAGTGGCGCGGAGTCAGGACACTCAGCAGGTGCCAGGATGGCTGAGCCCACAAAACTGGGGCTGGTGCAGCCCTGGTGCCCGTGGCGGAGCTGTGATCCCAGCAGGAAAGCAGGGTGGGCTTTTTGCAGCCTGCATTGGTGGCAAGTGCAGCCAGACAGTGTTTTCCCTCCTAGGGGTTATCCAGCTTTGCTTTGGGTGCGCTCCCTCCACCACCTTGGGTGGGATTTTGGTGTGCTCGACACCGGGGAGCACAGCCCTGTGCTGGTCCCACCGCCACGAGCTGGGAGATGATGGATGCTGGGCGCCTCACCACGGTAAAACACATCAAGACAAGAAGGGACCCAAGATGAAGAAGCTGGAGGTGAAGAGGATCGAGGGCAGCAGCTCCTCCTGCAACAGGCCTGGGGCTTGGCAGCATCAGTGGGCAGAGGAAATCCAGGGAGAGGCACCGCAGAAGAGGGAAGGGCTCGCGGGATCGCAGTGCCGCAGAAGGAGGAGTTTTTTTCCATTGCTTGCAAACATCATCATGTTGTATATAAACACAAAATGCCAAAATGTGAGTCAGCTTAATGGCAGTTTGGCTTGCACACAGAAGGAAGACGATAAATGTTAGAGGCACAGTTTGCAGAGGTGATTTATGGGCGTTTCGGAGGTTTTCAACAAGTCGCTTCATGGCAGGTAGAACATGCTTCCACAGTCTAATAAATTTTTTGATGAGTTGCTTCCCATCAGTGAGGAGAAACCTCTCGGGCCCGGCTAGTGGCCAAGCTTGCTTTTTTCGCCTTTGGCCTTGATATACTTTAGAAAGTGCAAATGCAGATGGTGTCTTCCTATGGGCAATAGGATAAGAATCCATAACCGTGTATTTTTAATAGCTGCTAAATAAATTTAGTGGCACAATGCCCTGATCCAGCAGAACAAAAGATCCTATTCACATGAGGGAGCAGATTTAAGACGCACTCAGGAATCTTAATTCCCGAATTCCCCCCCCTCCCTTTTTTTTTTTTTTTCAACATAAAGAATCTCAATGAGCCAGTTGCGGAGACTTTGATATAACGTCATTTTTGTAACAAATGCTATGGTCAAAACATTGCTCCGCAAACATTTACGCATGTACTTACATTTACACGTGTAAATAATCCCATTCAGGTCAGCAAAACTAACCACATATATAAAGTTAAGCATGTGTGAAAGTGTCTGCAGGATTGAGGCCAATGATTGCAAAACAGTTTAAACTATAATCCTCCATTTTCATTAGTTCTAACTTTCTTGAAAAACTTCTACCATGGGCTTGAAATTCTCCATGTCTTGTTGAGCCAAAGGCGATTTTTCTCCCCAGGAAGTCCAAGCAAAACCCTTCCAGCTGTTTTCAAGTTGTTAGGCTTCAAAATTGCATTTCCCACCAAGGACATTCTGCCCTTTCAACTCAGATAGCTCAAAATCTATTGTGTAAATACAGCTAATTAAAGCCAGTTATTACCTGCTATACATGAAAGCCCTCAAACACCACAGCCCGGTAGATTTGGCTGCTCTTGCTAATAAATCAAGGAACTCTCCGAATCATTCAGGAAGCTCCTTGAGCTTTCACCACGCTGCAGAAACACTAAATACAAAGTTTACAGCTTACCAAGAAGTTTCTCAAGCCTCCTTTTCTGTAAGACTTAAGACTTCCAAAAAGTGGAGGTATTTCAGAACGCAGCATTTGGCGACCCACGTCCAGCCCCCTGCCCGCCATGGGCGAGCACCGGGGGGCAGCCCAGGGAAACCTCTGATTCCCAGGCCCCCAAGAAGCCAAGGCACTGACCTTTAGAGGCCAGTCTGTTGGGCCTGGTGATCTTGAAAATCTTTTCCAAAATAAATGAATCTACGATTCTGTGATTTTCTTTTCTTTGACCACTGGGACTCGGCGCGGGACCGCACTCCCAAATCTCCATGGGTTCATCCTCTCAGAGCATCGCGGCGCTGCCTCCAGCTCCTGGGCACAGCAGTGGTGGGCACCCATTGCAGCTCATCACACGTGGCAGCGAGCAGCCACGGCCATCTCGTGGTGAAATTTCGGTGAAATTTCTCACTCGTACAGTCCAGGCGTCCTGCTTTTTCTTGGACTTGTTTCAGCAGCTGGGAAGAGCACGGAAGCCTCGTCCTCCTCTCCAAGCGAGGTGGCAGAACAGACAGAACCTCAAAAATAAAACATGGCAGTCATCACGCTTTGTGTGTTGGGGGTATAATAAAACGGGATTTAATGGGTACGTGTTACTTGAACAGCCGTGAGAGGGGCAATGGGGAATTTCCGCTGCTTTTCCACCGAGCCAAAGCTAAGGAAGGAACTGAAAAAAGGAGGGTAAAAGCGGAGAAATTAGAAGACAGGAAAAAGCCACTTAGTTCACCAAGCCTGCTCCTCCGTGGGGTTGGCTCAGCCCCCG